ATCTCTATCTCTATCTCTATCTCTATCTCTATCTCTATCTCTAGCCTCTATCTCTATCATCTATCTCTATCTCTTATCTCTATCTCTATCTCTATCATCTAATCTCTAAATCTCTATCTCTATCTCTATCTCTATCTCTATCTCTAATCTCTATCTGCTATCTCTATCTCTATCTCTATCTCTATCTCTATCTCTATCTCGATCATCTAATCTCTATCTCATAGCTCTATGCTCTATCTCTATCCTCTATCTCTATCTCTATCTCTATCTCTATCTCTATCTCTAATCTCTATCTCTATCTCTATCTCTATCTCTATCTCTATCTCTACTCTATCTCTATCTCTATCTCTATCTCTATCTCTATCTCTATCTCTATCTCTATCTCTAGTCTCTATCTCATCTCTATCTCTATCTCTATCTCTATCTCTATCTCTATCTCTATCTCTATCTCTATCTCGATCTCTATCTCTATCTCTATCTCTATCTCTATCTCTATCTCTATCCTCTATCTCTATCTCTATCTCTATCTCTATCTCTATCTCTATCTCTATCTCTATCTCTATCTCTATCTCTATCTCTATCTCTATCTCTATCTCTATCTCTATCTCTATCTCTATCTCTATCTCTATCTCTATCTCTATCTCTGCCTCTGTTTCTGTCTCTTTTATTTTAATCAGACTTCAGCTGATATCTATAAATTCAATATTACATGCAAATACACCATTATTTCGATTTTAATATAAAATAATTTAATGTTACAAAATTTTAAAAAAATTTCATAAAAAACACTTCAAGACATAAAATATTAAAATTCATTTTAAAATACTTTGTTTTGATTGTAAAAATTGTTAACGTGTAAACACAAGCAGTGCGTATTGAAAGCAGTGCACAAGCAGTTATAGAGTGGTTATGCAGCACTGCTTGTCAAGCAGTTTACAGCAAATCAATTTCAAATTTAAATTTAGGTTTGAAAAGTTCGTTGGTACAGTACGTCTAAGGCCACAGCAAAATATATATAACATAACAATTAATGGAGGGTTTAATTTAATATCAAAGCCTAAGGAACTGAAGAAGTAGATAATTCCGATGCTTTCCCAGACAAAGTCAACTAATAGCATGCTTGAGTGCTAGTTTCTACTTTTTGGAATTTATTTTAGTTTTTTTTTTTGTGCAACACAAGATCAATTATTCATAAAAGTGCTTTAAGCGAGCCTAACGAATACAAGAGAACATATGGAAATGTCCAATTAGATAAAATTGAGTTTGATCTATTCGATCGAAGGATATTTACACTAGTTCTATATACATGACATAACATCGAACTGAAATCATCGTGCTTCCTGTTCCGATTTGGTCGTATTGGTCGTATTCGACTGCTCCGCTGGCTTGAATTCTTCAGTCTGATTTAGCTCTTTGGGTGCTGGCATCAGTTGGCCCAGCGCCAGCTTATTGGGCAATACATCTGGCTTATCAACTATACCATATGGTCGCAAATGATATATAAAATACTCTAGCACATACATTTGCTTGGGCGAGACATAGTGGAATGATATAGCATAATCCGAGCAGCCGTCCATACCCTGTAAAAATGATGAGCCATGAGTTAGCAAAGAGTCTATTGAAAGAAGGGTCTCTGACCTCATTTGTCTTGTAGTAGAGGTACTGCCAGTACCAGTACTTTGGGTCCACATTGGGTTTCAAATGATCTTCCGGCACAAAAGGGAAGAAGCGCCCACGTCCAATAGAGTCACGGGAATCACCAGCCATCACTTTGACATTCTCCAAGCATTTGCCCATCTCAACATCCTCGGCGCCGTCGTTATCCTTTTTGCATAGCTTGGGATTGGGCAAGGCTTCCACCACGAAGCGACGCACTGCCTCGCGACTGAGCACGTAGCCAGCTCCACCGGACATATAGCCCTGCTTGACATATGGCTTGAACTTGCAGCCAAAATAGACGGGCGTCTCTGGATTATAGGGATATAGCATATAGCGCATGTTCTCCACAATCGTATAGGTGTCATCGTCAGCCTTGAGGAACCAGTCCGCATCGTTGATATGATGCTCGTAGATGTATTTGTAGGCCTCCTTTGTCTTGCCCCACAGATTGTTGCGACCCTCGCCAATGGGCAGGGCCACAGCATCCAGCTCCTCATCCTTGGCTGAGCTCATGAAGATCAGCTTGTTGCATCGCTTGCCCCAGGTGCGCTTCACATGGCGCGCCTTCTTCTTGTGATTGGAGGGATTTGTCATAATCCAGCAGAGAATGCGCACTTCGCTATGCAATTTCTCGGCAATGCTTGTGTTCTCGTTTGAGTGTTCGTGCGTGCCGATGTCCTGCTCGGGGCCAGACAGCTCCAGCATGTCGTGACTGTGATTGGCATTGTTAATATTGCCACGTTCCGGCATGGAAGAGTAGATATATAGCTCAGCCAGGCAGAAACCAAGGACCAGGCCGACAATCAGTGAGACTAATGAACGTTTGCTTAAACGTGCTGAGAAGTAGAGAATCACAGGCAGTTCAGATGAGTAAAAATGCAAAAATATGGCGACAAAACATGGATTGGACATTTGCTTGGAACTCACTTTCATTAAGTAAGGATCGTCCCAATAGGCTAGTAGACGTCATTTGGGCTTGTGTTGCAGGTAATGGCTGGCCTAGAGGCTATAAAAGGTAACTTCTCTGTGCAGTAACACGTAGACTTTGGCTTTCAGGTCTCTTGAGTCTCTTTTGGCTGTGTTGCGTGGGTGGAACTAATATGTTCTCAGCGCTTCACATCGTCTGCAAATTTTGGAGTTTCTGCTTCTGTACTTGTCTGCTTATTTATAAATGAATAAATACATTTTTTATGGCTTGTAATAATGATTGTAATAAGAATATATAAATAAATAAATAAATTATATTTATATATTTTATATTTATAATTTGGCCAATTGAAAAAAAAATCATTTTTTAACCAGAAAACACAATCTTGTTCCGTTGCTAGAGAGCGATGATCTTTACAAATGCTGCGAGCTTATAATTCTCAAATGGTTAAGGCATAGCAGGAGTTGTAAGGCGAAGTTGAAACAGCAGCTGATGTATGTGGCTAATAGAATAGATAGCTGATGGTATTGATATAGACAGATATAGATATATACAGATAAATATAGATAGATAGCCAGATAGATAGATACAGACAACCTGCAGCAATTTAGTTGGTTATTTTTAATCAAAAAAACTTCAATTTACAGCCAGCAAAATCTTAAAAAATATTTAATATTTATTTTTCAAGGTCAATGCTTTTTCCAGCACTTTTATTTAAGCTAAAGCTGTCCAATGAATATTTTTAAATATTTCTTAAATTCATTTATAAATGATAATAATAGCTTACACTTTTCACTGAACCTATTTTATATCTATACACCTTAAGTGCAATATATATCTTCCCTTTTACTTTACCATAAATACTTTTTGGTAATAAAGATAAACTCCCTCACCCTTGGCTAATGAGTGTATTACGAGTGGTAGCTCTCGCTTGCGATAATTGACTGATCCTACTACGGATAATACTGCAGGTTCTTAAGGCAATGTCAGCTGCAATCGACATTGTTGACATTCCTTTATTTATTCTTTAACATTTATTTTAGCTATGCTAATATCGAACGTAAATTGAAATGCTTAAATTTACAGCCTGTCTGTATTATCAACAAAACAGAGAGCAAAACAGTTGCCATTGTGTGTTCACATATGGTTTTCGGTGGGAGTCGCGTTTATCTTTTATGCATTAAGCTAATTGATCAGGCTAAGTGAGCAGTTGTCGAAATGAATCATAAGTTGGCTGACCATAGTTATCGGCTTGCCTTTCACTTAAAGCGGAACTCAAGACTGAACAAAATTCCGGCTAAAAATTGTTGTAAACCAAAAGCGGACATTTGAAAAGCGATAAGAACCAATTTAAGTGCATGTTCAAGCTAAATTTGATTTTATGGCAGGCAGACTGAATAGGCTATAGGATACTGATTAGAATGCCAAAGAATTCTTGAGTTATACAATTGCAGGGAAAGAAGTGAATTCTTATTTTAAATGGGCTTCGTATTTTGTTCTAAATAACTTAAGAGAATGTCAGTGGAATACTAAACTTTCATATTCAGTTAACGAATGCAGATACTTGTTGTACCCGCTCAAGAAGTGTTTAATGTTCGTCTTTTCCTTTGTCTCTCTGTCAGTCGCTATTAATACTGCAGTCATAAAATATAGTTTTCAAGCTCATCTGAGCCCTTGTTCTATACACTATTTAGGAAACATCCACTAAAGAGACGCTAAAAAACACAGGGCGTTTTTGAAGCTAGAATATATATTCGTGTTTACAAAAAAAAAAAAGAACAAGTAAGCTTGCTCTAGTCGGGAGTGTCTGACTAGGACATGCCTTGACCCTGCGCAGCGTTGCTATTTCAATTGTTCTAAGCTTCTTTGATTTCATGCATGGCAAACAGCGCTCAGCATCAGCTACTGCGCACCTTAGGCAGTGGCCAAGGACCTTTGCAACCTACACCATAAATTTTAAGGTTTAGCATATGATGTACTCAGGGCAGGCTTATATAAGCACACATGCAGATGTAGAGGGGGTCATAGCTAGATCGACTTAGCTTATTGTCCTGTTCAGGAACATATATACTTAAGGGGGCCGCCCACAACTTCATCTGCCTGTTATATACATTTTCATAGAGACATCATACGCCGAATATATTCTAGATTGCGATCTACAGCCAAGTTCAATTAGCCCTGTCTGTCTGGCGAATAATATTTCCTTAGGTAGATCTTTTTCAATAGAATATATAGTTGGCTCATATGCCGAAATTGCATTGAACACAAGAGTTATTAAGCCAAACATTTAGCCAATTGGCAAAAGCACTTGGCAAGCAGCGTCAATCGAACTCATTTTTCCCATGCACACATACATTGAAATGCGTGCATTCTTTTCTGTTCGAAGAATTAAAATTGCATTGATTGAATTTTGTTTGAATTGTCAGCTGATATTTTATTTTAGATCTGGAACTCATTGAGAAGGCAGTGGCGCTGTTGTAGAGGCGCCGCTTGTAGTCGAGGACTTCTGTGCTTATCAAGCCCAGGGAACGTCGGGATTTACTTTAATTTATGTTTGTTACAGACATCACAGCGGTAGAGTAGGGAAAGTTGGTTTGAATCCTGGTGTCACACAATGCCAGTTTTTACTTATTTTTTATGCAAGGTACTAGCTAGGAAACTATCTAAAAAGCAGATCGAATGGGGTTCAGCGTATCTCTTAGGCGGTCAGCCCGACTAAAGGAAGCTTACTTGTTAAGCAAAATAAACTTGACTTCAGGTTAAACAAAAGTTATCTTTGCACACCTACACCTATGCCTACGCCTACGCCTACGCCATTTGCGCCTAGTTTGCAGATGGCTCACTGTTGCCTCCTCTGTAGACGTTCTATTAGGCAAACTGTTGAAGACCGAAGAGCAGCAAAACTCAAGAAAATTTTAAAGCTTTCTTTAAGTCCAATTGCATTAAAATTTCTTTTTAAAACCTCCACAGAAATAAAGCAAAATGTTTTTGTTTTATGTTTGTAATAAGATTTTTTATTAAATATTATAATATTAATGGTAAAATGTATTACACATTTTCTCAGAGTTAATGCCTATATATATGCATATATATAATGTATAATTCGTATTAAAGTATATTAACTAATTTATGTCAATATAAAATGTATTCAATTATTGCTAACTATATTATATGGGCCAGTATTTATGCATATTTTATTAGCATTGTCTTAGAAAGTAATTATGTGCCATATGCATTATGAATACTTAATTTGAATGTCTATTTAAATCTTATAAGTATATTTATTATAAACCATAATTGCGCAGACTTCTTTACAAACTAATCTAACTGAGTGCTTGTTGCTGTTTTTTATACTTTTTTTGGTATTTATTTATGTTTTTCATACTTTTTTTGTACAACTCAAGAGCATTTTCATAAACGTAGCCTAAGCGAATTCAACTAATAATACAAGAGACAACATATGGAAATGGCAAAGTATGTTAAGCTGAGTTGGATCTGAGTCGATCGAAGGATATTTACACAAGTTCTATATACAGGCCATAGCATCGAGCTGAAATCATTGTGCTTCCTTTTCCGCTTCGGTCGTATTCGACTCCTCCGGTGGCTTGGACTCCTCGGTCTCCTTGGGCTCTTTGGGCACTGGCATCAGTTCGCCCAGCGCCAGCTTATTGGGCAGCACATCTGGCCTGTTAACTATGCCATATGGACGCAAATGATATATCAAGTAGTCGAGCACGTACATTTGATTGGGCGAGACATAGTGGAATGATATAGCATAATCCGAACAGCAATCCAGACCCTGCAAAAGAAGATGGGAAGATGAGTTGCCAAAGTTCTTTAGGTCTGATAGTCTAACGCTCTGACCTCATCTGTCTTGTAGTAGATGTACTGCCAGTACCAGAACTTTTTGTCCGTATGCGAGGGTATCAAATGATGCTCCGGCACAAATGGAAAGAAGCGCCCACGGCCATTAGCATCACGGGAATCACCAGCCACCACTTTGACATTCTCCAAGCACTTGCCCATCTCAACATCCTCGGCGCCGCTGTTATCCTTTTTGCATAGCTTGGGATTGGGCAAGGCTTCCACTACGAAGCGACGCACTGCCTCGCGACTGAGCACGTAGCCAGCTCCACCGGACATATAGCCCTGCTTGACATATGGCTTGAACTTGCAGCCAAAATAGACGGGCGTCTCTGGATTATAGGGATATAGCATATAGCGCATGTTCTCCACAATCGTATAGGTGTCATCGTCAGCCTTGAGGAACCAGTCCGCATCGTTGATATGATGCTCGTAGATGTATTTGTAGGCCTCCTTTGTCTTGCCCCACAGATTGTTGCGACCCTCGCCAATGGGCAGGGCCACAGCATCCAGCTCCTCATCCTTGGCTGAGCTCATGAAGATCAGCTTGTTGCATCGCTTGCCCCAGGTGCGCTTCACATGGCGCGCCTTCTTCTTGTGATTGGAGGGATTTGTCATAATCCAGCAGAGAATGCGCACTTCGCTATGCAATTTCTCGGCAATGCTTGTGTTCTCGTTTGAGTGTTCGTGCGTGCCGATGTCCTGCTCGGGGCCAGACAGCTCCAGCATGTCGTGACTGTGATGGGCATCGTTGACATCGCCATGCCGATGGCCATCGTAGGGCACAAACTCGCCACGTTCCGGCGTGGATGAGTAGACGAACAGCTCGGCCAGGCAGAAGCCAACGACCAGGCCGACAATCAGTGAGACTAATGAACGTTTGTTGGAACGTCCTGAAGAGAGCAGAATTGTAGGTAAAAGATGAAGACAATTTGGGCATTTGCTTGGAACTCACCTTCATTAAGTAAGGATCGGCCCAGTAGGCTGTTGGCAGTCATTGCTTGTGGCTTATATGTTGTGTGGCTTCGAGGTTGTAGAGGGCAACCTCTGTATGCTCTGGGCACTTAGTCTTTGGTTTCCAGGGGCCTCTCGAGCCTCTTTGGTTGTGTTGCGTGGATGGAGCTGATAGATATCCTCAGCGCTTTACATCTTCTGCAAATTGAAATGGGTAAAGCATGTCATATAGAGTAGAATCTTTACAATAAACTGGTCTGGGGTAGTCGGCATGCAATTTTGTTCGACAAATGTTAAAGAATTATAAAATTTGAGCGCTTCTTCTTCTGCGCTCGTCTATCTCTCAATTACAAGTGTCATCTATCTGGGAATTGTGCAATGGGGCGATGCTCGAGACATGACTGTATTATTAAATATGCGAAAACGTGACAATTGATTCATTTGAGTTCCACTTGGCTCAGCTGCAGTAACGTTATTTTTTTTTTATAATTTGCTCAATTGTTGCATATTTTATTTCTTATTTAGTTTTGATTTGCTTTGTTTTGGTGTTTATTTTTTATAAATCTTATTTTAATGCATTCTGATATGCGTTGGTGGGCTAGCTGATATCAATTAATTATCTGCCGTACGTGCATTACGCCTGATTAGCTTAACTGGGTCAATAGTCTTCTGCTTCATCAACTCGTATCTCTAGTGTGTGCTTTGTATCTTTTGTATTTAATGCCTCATATATATTTATATATTTTAATTTCACGTCAATTTGCTGGGCCTTAAGTTCAGGCCGAAAAACAGTTCACGTTTTCCAATTATTTTTAGCTAAATGCAATTTTAACTCTACATGCAAAACGTGTTTGGCTCACAGCTTTTAATTTTATGCATATTTAAGAACAAATTTATTTGCGCTTAATTTGTGTGGCATGAAGACTGAATAGGGTATAAAATTCTCTCTTAAAGAGATAAGAATTGTGGAAATAATAATTATTTCAGACTCTTCTAAAAATCAAATAATTTGACTCTAATTAAAGTGAGAATTGTATAAAAATATAAGTACATAATAATGTTATTATTATGCTTTAACAATTTGAAATCAAAATTACAAAATTTTGATTTGGAAAGCAGAATTAAACTTTGAGTTTTAGCCTTGTCCAGAGAAGTATTTCTTATTAAAGGCGAATGACCTTTGAAAATAAGAAAATAAATATATATTTACTTTTATTGTTGAATTATTAACATTCATTGTGTAAATAAAAAATACATCAATAAATAGTAAATATATTTATATATATAAAAAAAATGAAATTATTAAATTTGCTGACGCTTTTAAAATTGCATTTATTGCATTTATGAATTATTATGAATTATTTATGAATTAAAAAAGTGCAGATATTTTTTAATTTCCTTCTTTCTGCTATATATTGCTTTACCTGTTGAACAAATTTTTCTCATTAATAAATGAACAAATGAACAAAATGAACAAAACAAAATATGTTATATATAAGTAACGTATATGTATAAAATATATAAAATTATATTTTGCATATAAAAATTATTTTTAATAATCTAATAATTTATATGTATAAAATATATAAAATTATAAACATACATAAATAAATTATATGTATATAGATGTATTTATTTATTAATTATTATATAAATTATTTATAGTTTGATATGTTTATTCATCATTTAATTCCTATTACTCTTACATATTTTGTAAATATTTATTATTTATTATTTATTTATTTACTTTTTACATTGTGTTGTACATGGAAGTGCTTAAATTTACAGCCTGTCTGTATTATCAACAAAACAGAGAGCAAAACAGTTGCCATTGTGTGTTCACATATGGTTTTCGGTGGGAGTCGCGTTTATCTTTTATGCATTAAGCTAATTGATCAGGCTAAGTGAGCAGCTGTCGAAATGAATCATAAGTTGACTTATCAGCAGGCATAGATTTGCAGCTATCAACAAAGTCTACATTTTCACTTAAAGCAGAAATCAAAACCCGAAGAAATTCCCAGTAAAAAGATAGTAAGTCAAAGACGGACATCTGACAAGCGATAAAAAACTTAAGTGAATTTTATAAAAATGTTATTTCTTTTTGTAACTGTTTCTACTTTAATGTGCACATTGAGCCAGGTTTGATTAGCTTCAATAAGGTTTTAGTTGTATCCTTAGGGGTGATTTGTGCTCTGATGACAGTCGTATGCCTCTGCATATACATGTATGTATATATTTATTTATTTATTTACGATTTGTTTACGATTCTCATCAGCTTCAGAATTATAGAGAATCAGATTCCAGATAAACTCGTTTTTAGAAACATATATACTTCGTCACTCTATAAGTTAAGATCACTTTTTGTGTAGTTAAGTGTTTATATCTTCATACTTCACGAAGTGTGCAATGTTTGCCTTGCTGTCCGCCCGTTCGTCCACCTGTTCGTGTGGGTTGCTGTTGACATCATCTGTTATATGGTGCCTCCATAAATATTGATGTTTGATTAAATTCATGGTAAACGGATATTATCCAGTCAGTTGTGCCGGGTCTAATTATACTATTTTGTATATAATTATTACCTTGATTATTATATTCATTCACTCTTTTATTACACTAACCCAGACCCTTATCTACTGGAACATATTCTGCAATGCTGAAACTAGTTCCACTTGGAACTGAACACAGTTCGCTGCTAGCCATACGTGTGCATAGAGCTATGTGCTCCATTCTATCTGTGGAACGCTTCTTAAATGCTTTCGTTTATCAATTTATGCTAAGCTGAGAAGTCTTATTTATAAAGCTTACTCCTCAGTTGCTGTCAGTTGCTTTCTGCACACGCGCTTCACGACTCATTTTAGCCTAAAGACAACTCCACATAATGTTCAATTAGCAAGTGAATTCTTCAAAATATTATGTTAAGTACAACAAAATGTATTTGAAACGTGAATTTATTGTGCGACATCCGATAGTTGTTTTCACTGTGGGCATAGCTGTGGGCATGTGCCTCATAAAGATATTTAGCACTCCAGCAGCTATTGATCCCTTTGATACGTACACAGCTCAACAATCATCGTATGGTACGGATACAGCCAGCCACAATGAGCTCATTGATGATGCGGCATCCGATCGCGAAGTGGTTAGCCATGATCATCTATACGACAACACCTCATTATCTGATCAGCTGAAGCGGGAGGTGCGTGTGCTCTGCTGGGTGATGACCAATCCCAGCAACCATAAGAAGAAAGCCCGACATGTGAAACGGACGTGGGGCAAACGCTGTAACATTCTGCTGTTCATGAGCTCTGCAGCAGATGAGGAGCTGCCCACAGTCAAGTTGGATGTGGAAGAAGGTCGACCGAATCTGTGGCGCAAGGTGAAGGAGGCCTTCAAGTATGTCTACAAGCATCATTACAACGACGCCGACTGGTTCTACAAGGCTGACGACGATACCTATGCAGTAATCGAGAATCTACGATATATGCTATATCCCTATAGTCCAGAGACGCCCGTTCACTTTGGCTTCAAGTTCAAGACCTTCGTTAAGCAGGGCTATATGTCGGGCGGAGCTGGCTATGTGCTCAGCAAGGAGGCGCTGCGACGGTTTGTGGTCGATGGCATACCCGATCCCAAGATGTGTCTGCCGGGCACCGTTATTAACGAGGATATTGAAATTGGCAAATGCATGGAGAATCTTAACGTGACAGCTGGCGATTCTCGTGATGTGAATGGGCGTGGTCGCATGTTTCCTTTTGCACCGGAGCAAATGTTAATACCCAATAAAGATCCAAATTTTTGGTACTGGAACTATCTCTATTACAAGACGGACGACGTAAGTGCGGAAATAAATAAATGACTGAATAAATGCATTAATCTGAGATTTTGTTTAAGGGTCTCGATTGCTGTTCGGACAATGCAATATCCTTTCACTATGTTCCGCCCAGTTTGATGTATGTTCTGGACTATTTGATCTATCATTTGAATCCCTTTGGGGTGATCAGAGCACAGCGCTTGCCCGCCAAACTAAAAGTAGGCGAGTTCCTGCCCGCTCCGAAGGAGGAAACCGCCAACAGCAACGAGGATTCCATGGATGATTATGATAGGCTAGGCAAAACTGCAACAAATAAAACTCAAACGGCACCAGATGCCAGAGAAGTTGACTAAAGCAACAGCTACTGACTGAATGGGCTGGCAAGCTGAATGTAACCGTGTCACCGCAATGTCAGATGGGTTCAAATGCATTGTGTGGGCGGGTGGTGATGGCAATTGTGCTGCCTCAATTGATGTGATGCTGGGCAGTCAGTTCAGTACGTTTCAAATTGCAATTGTAATTGCAAATTAATTAAATGTGGGCATGAAATAGTCGGTAAACCTTGTGCTTCCAGTTTTCATAGTTTCCCCTGCTTCCACTGGGCGGGAAATGCGTGTCACGGCATTCACTACTTACTGAAACAGTTTTGCATTCGCAAAGCATTGCAATTAAACGTAAATTGCTTAAATTGCCTATCACCGAGTCACTTTGCATATGGCAAACCCGTAAAGACTCATGCACGGTAAACAAATAAATCCACAATGTTTTGTCTATATTTAGCTAGCACCGGACTGAAAAAATGTTTATCATCTGTCTGAATATTCAAGTAAATGAACTCATTTTGCAACGTGCTTCTAATCTATTTTGCCTTTTTGGTTATCACAAATTACAGTCATGTCATTAACTGTAGTCAATTTCACAGTTATACAATAATATTTGAGGCGTTTATATACATTAAGTTTAAAAAATATATTTCCAAAAATATCTAAGTTGCTATATTTTAGGAAAAATAAAAATCATATTTTTAAATTGTTATCAAATTTTCTATTAATAATAAAAATATAGATTATATTTATATACATTAATTAGGTTTAGGAAATACTTTTCTAAAAATATCTAAACTTCCATATTTTAAGAAAAATAAAAATCATATATTTAAATTTTTATTAAATTTTCTAGTTATAAAAAAATATATATAAATTATATTTCTAAAAATGAATATAAATTATATATAATACCTCTTAAATTTGTTATTAATTTATTTTTTTTTTTGTAAAAAATTTAATTTTTTATATCAGTTTTAGGTAAATTATATTTTTTAAAAATATCAAAACTTTCACATTTAAAGAGAAATAAAAAAAATATAAAATGTAATTTTCAAAATAAATATAAAGTATACTTAATAGCTATTAAATTTTTTAAGAACTTATTTTTTATTATTTATAATAAGTTTAATTAATTTTCTTTAACTTATAAGTAAATTACATTCTCAAATATTAATTTATATACTTTTTAAAACTAAGTTTTAAGAATTTTTAGTAGAAATCTCAACAATTTTTTAAAATATTTATTACTTTAAAATAACTTTATGACTGAAGGTAAACAGGCTCATTCACATGAAAGTGTTTTTTTTTTGTTCATTTTAATATTCACTTTTATATGGCAAACTATTAAGTGCTTAAAATTGTAATTATTGAAAGCGTAATAGATATTTTAAAAATGCTGTTTCTACATAATAAAATGATTATATCAGAGACAAAATATGCGCTGGCCTATTCACAATACCGTGACAGTTCATTCACAGTGAATGTAGCTAGCCGGGCTACATATGTTTGTAAACACGGAGGCACTGACAGCAAACCAATTGTTCAATTCTTTTGTATATATAGCCCGACGGTTAACCAATAAAATCGGCCACGCTTTGCGATTCCGAGTAGAATACAAAAACAACAATAAAAAAAAGAGAATTTAATTAAATTGCTGTTTGGGTGTATATGTTCTTTATTCCCATACTTTCAATTGTTGCGCTGTCAGTTAAACGTGACAAAGTATGCATATATATATATATATATATATATATATATATATATATATATATATATATATAGAATATTTACCTAATGCCTTGCTCATACAACAACTACTGTTATCAGGCCCTAGAGGAACTGACCATGGAAACTGTTATCATAGAAAACAGTTGCTTTTATATTAAATTTTTGCTTTTTTATTCTTTGTTTTTTTTTTTTTTTGAGACATCCGCTTTGAAGCAGAGTTAGTTATGTGACAGCCTTCCATATAGTCGACGTTCTTATCGAGCATTGCTGGACCTAACCTTCGCAGCTATCTATTTAGTCATTAGACAACAGTAGTAGCTTGTAAAAGTAAAGAGTTTTGTTTTGTTCTTTTAATTACTTCACTAACAAAATACCGTCAATGATAATATTAATTAACATTAATTTAGGTCTGAAACATTCGTAAAAGCTTTAACTTCGCATAATTTGTCATAAATCATGTTTTTCTATTACTATTTGTTCCATTTTTTCGCAATTAAGATAAAATATACTTACGACCTTATCGCATACGTTGTTATCTATTTAGCTATTGATTTTTCAAAACATGAGCCTCAAATTGAATTGAGTGCAAACATTGTAAAGTTCCATTGGTCAGATGTAAATTTCAAGTAATTAATGAATTATTAGTTTATATATATATATAAATGTATATAGAAATATGTAAGCGATTAACAAGAGAGGTAAGACAACGTCGCTGGTTAGTATTGTCATCTCAAGTGGGTCAAAGGTGATGAGAATAAAGTTGATGAGCTAAGAAGTTTTTTCGCTCTTTTTTATATTTTCTTTGTTTGCTAATTGCCTTACGCGAAATCAATAAAAAGAAAAAAATAGCCGAAGGGAATAGAAAATTATGGAAATAAAAGTTTAGCTTCATTAATTGTATTTTATTCATGTGCTATAAGAGGTATTATACAATACGTCTAAATGATCATGAATAGAATGAAATTGTGCTTGACGTCAAAATAACCTGGGTTTTACTCAAATTTACAGTTGGATTAGACATATTTTATATATAAAATCTATTAGATTTTTAAATACAAATTATTGGAATACTATTTCATTTGTTGTAAACGAAAGCAAGATAATATAAGAATATTGTTAAGCTTAAAACGTCATTTTTAGCAAATAATGCTAAGCGGTAGATAAGAAAGATCTTATCTGATAAGAGTATCCAACTTGCTAATGATCACAACTTTCTGAACGACTCTGAAGTGTAAGAAAATGTCAGACGATATGCATATTTGTTTATGACGTGTCTCGAGTGGCCACTTGAAAAGCAATGGATCGAAAATTAAACCCACATAATTGACTGCATTATGGATTATACTCATTCAGTTAACGCCCCGCGAAGTGCGAACTTTAACTTGTATAGAAAAAGAAAAAAAAACGGGCGCATTGTGATTATAGCCGTCTTATCAGCAACTGCCGCATCTGAAGCGGAGCATACTAAGTAATGTAAGCTATAAGTAAATATGAGTAAATACACACGTATGAAAATATAAATAAATATATATGTATATATCAAAACAATATAAAAAGAAAGAGGCACATGGGAATTGGAGCAAAAAAGGAAGTGGAGAGAGGCGAATGGGGCAATGGGCAAGAGTGTTTAGCGATCGCATTTAAGGAATAATATAAAAATACCGCCGCATATGCATATCTGTATGCGTGTATGTGTGTGTGTGGAAGAAATACGACAAGACGAAGCGGCGCGGGCCAATTCACCCCTGGAGTGTAGAACGAGTGAGAGCGAGAGTGGAGAGCCACAGCGACAAATAGATAGCAACGGAAATGGCAACTGCACAAGGAGAGCGAGCGGGTGAGAGCGCGAGTGGGAGAGCGCAAGAGACAGTGGCGGCAGGCAAAGGGCAGCTGTCGCTGCAACGTAATATAAATAACAACTAATCTACTCAGTCAGACATTAAGAATTCTGAATACGCTTTCAAATCAATTTGACTTAACAAATAACTTAATTAATTTATTGTAAATTGCAAATACACGTATTTGAAATATTCAAAATATATCATGAAATTAACGAATCTAAAGAAAATAAAAAAATATGTAATATCACGCCTTTTTTTGAAAGGTTAAAGTTTTTGTTTGACCAATTTGTTTCGGAAGTATTTATACATTTTTTTATTTTTTTTAAATTATAATAAATTTGATTTATTTAATTAAGTTATAACTAATTCATAATGAAAACCCCGAAACATAGTTTTTCAAATAATTATTATGAAAACATTTTTTATTTTTATTTTTTACTATTAATGTTTTTGTATAATAATCCCTATTTTTTATAAAATTATTGTCACTATTATTTTTATGTCTTTGCTTAAAGTATTTTTAAAACACCAATCTCAGCTTTTAAAGTAAATTAAATAAATTTAAATATAATTTATTTAACTTTTTGAATCTACAGTAGCAAAGCTCATTCAAAAGTTAATTTTCAGTTCCAAATATATATATATATATATATATATATATATATATATATATATATATATATATATATATATATAGTATAGCAAATATATATTTATTTTATGTATATCCAGCTTACGCTCATACATATAATAAGATCACAATAAGAGTATTTCGTCTGACATGCATTGCCACATGCCTTTCGGTAGTTTCTACAAGCAACTTGTCTTTTCCTTGTGCTTCAATTGAATATTATCACTAACCATATAGCACTTGGATGGGACATGTAGTTCAAACTTTTACAACGCACAAAATATGATTATTAAGTTTCACTCAACTTCGTATTTGCTCGGATACTTTACTATTTGGTTCCATCAAGAAAACTATGGGACCTCAGCATCAGTGAGCTTTGAGCGCTCAACCGGCTTGGTCGATTGTCATATGAAGTCTCCCCCATGCTTAATTTTTCTTGCTTACTCTTTGATCTTTGCTCTCCCAAATATATATATGTATATATATATATATATATATATATAAATGTATGCAAAAGCAGCAGTACACGAAAATTGAATTGTGGTCTTCAAGAAGTCCCAGTTCACCCTTCTGAGAGAAGTGTATGCTCATGCTAAATCCTAACGTTTTTATTATTGTTTTTGGCAAGGAAATGAAAGCACACACACTTACAGTTACACAGGCATATCTGTGTCTGTGTGCATTACTCTAGCTGCTGAGGTTCTAAGGCCTACAATTTGAAGTTTTTCGATTTTGTGGACTGCACACAAACACATTTACAAACTGTCGGGTATCTCTCGATTTAGTAGTTTGAATTGTAGAGGGACTGTTAAGTGCGCCTTTGTAACCTGCAGCAGTTAGTTTGTTAGGCAGTATATGAAACTGGCAACTGTTAACTTGAATCTTTTATGACCCATTAGCGGATATATTCGAAAGAATTAAATAAACTTATTAGTTAAGTTATTTTGGATTATAGGCACATTCGTACATACATGTGTAACTATAAGTATTTATTTATTTACATATGTGTCTATATGTGAGACGGCCTTGGAAGTTTAGAATATCGAATAACTTCAAATTGTAGGCCTCTAAGATTTCAATAGGAAGCTGTAGTATCGCACACAGGCACATAAGTGTTCCTAAATGTCAACAATCTATGTGTAGTCATATTATGATTATTTTTGGGCTTTGTGTGCGCATTTACAGACTGGCACAAATATATGTATATATATATATATATATATATATGTGTGTATATATGATCCCATGCATATATAAACCCATGTCTTCTCTTTAATGCTTGGACTTAAACGTGTCGTTTATTTTTTACTGCATTCTCAAGACTTGATTATGTGAAAGAGAATTTTGTTTTTATTTATTTTTTGTTTTACTTTTACAGCACTTGGATGCACTTTAAGTGGTTTTTATGCATTTCACATTGGATTTCGGTTTTGACATACTAAGCGAAGCGCTGCTCGTTTAATGCTGACCAAAATATTTACAAATTAATTTTTTTTTATGTTTTCTTATTTTTTTGAAGACAGCATTTTAGCACTACACTTACTTGGCTACTTACAATTGATTTTTAGCACACTTTTTGGCATTTTGCTGTTGTGTTTTGTTTTCTTTCCCTTTTTGTTGTTGTTGGCTTTGGTTATTCTTTTTGTATTGTGTATTTTTGTCAGCTCGTCGTTTTGTTTAATGTGACGCAGGACGTGCTGGGGCTTATTTAGTATCTGTGACGATTTTGTATTGCGATTTAAGTGGCCTTGTTGTATTGCATTTAATTGAAGCGCAACTATAGTAATAAGAAAAACAATAATAATATTTAATTACCGAATTAATTTTTCCCGACAACGCGAACTGAGCGAAACGCGAGCGCACGACCTGACAACAAAACGGCAACTGCGGAGAACGCGCGAAATTTGCGACTTGTCGAGAGCAAGAAAATAGGAATACTTTGAATGCTAGCGAGAGAGACCAAGAGAGAGAGATCGAGAGAGAGTGCGCAGTCACTTACTTTAGAACTCATACGTGCACAGGCCTTGCGCGCTGCTGGGCACAGAGAGTAAGAACGCATGCATTGCCCCCAAAAAATGTTATGACATGTGCTAAGAGGGCGGCTATCAACGGTCAGAGAGCGAGACAGAGCGAGCGTGAGAGATTACGGTAATTGCATGAATGCCGGCATGCGGCCGGCTTCTTGATTATGCAGCCGATTGAACTAAATCCATAAAATATGCTGAGAGGCCATTCGAGAGAGCGAACGCTGGAGAGCCCTTAGCATTTTATTTATAACTTTGTATTGGCTACCCTCGGTAGTTAAGCCAGGTGTGCGTCACAATGTCACAAGAGAGGCGGAGAGCGTTCTAGACAGCGAGAGTAACAGATAGAGAGGAAAAGAGGGAGCTAAGCAAATCAGCTGTTTCAAATGTTTTAGGGTAAGTGTCTGTCTCTCTAGTCTCTAGGGTTCTGTAAACGGTCTTCCTGCTCGCTTACAAATCTTGTTTGTGAACTAAATTCATGTATTTAAATAATTGAGAAGTAACACATTTGTATCGCTTGTAAATTACTTTATATATTTCAATGAAACAATATCCTAAGATATTCAAACTTCAGAGTCAATTTGCTCTAAACACAAATCAAACCGTAATTACAAGTTGTATTGGGAATAAATACAGATAAGACAACCGTAATTACAAGTTGTATTGGGAATAAATACAGATAAGATGTTGCTAATTTCCTGTGCTTTTGTTACCTGATTGCAAAATACGACCAAACGAAACGTCTTTAGATAAGCAACCGTTAGGAAATTCTTTATTGGTATTTTTCTATCGATGTGAACAAGATTTCTTATGAGTTTATGAAGAGGCTAGCCAAGTTCACAACCGGCGTGCTGTAGCCAGTAGCTTTTGCTTGTGTGCGCTAAGTGATCAAATGAAATATTTTTGATCAAAGAGTCAATTAAATGTTTAATGAAAATACGTTAAATTTGACAAGGCACTTTCTGTACGTTTCATATATATACGTACATTATATATACAACTAAGCACACTCGGTACACGTTTAATTCATTTAATTCTGATGACAATGTAGTTTTTGATATTGTATATTTCATCCAGTTTACACATAGTTTCGCTAAAATATAAATATGTATGTGTTTGTATGTATTTATTTACATTATTCTCTTTGAGTGGCAGGAGAACTAAGTAAAATCAAAAGTCACGCTGCTTGCAAAATAGATTGCGTGTGAATTGATTTAAAATAACAAAAACAAACACAAAGATTTTATTTCGTTTTCTCTTTTTTTCTCTTTAATGTTTAGTCAATAAATCAAAATTTATAAAATGTAGATATTCTTTGGATAGTAGAAAATCTGCTTACAATTATTGTTCAGCAATTGTGATGAAATGTTTTTTTTTTATGATAATTTAATTTAAGAGCAAAACTTTCTTCTCAAAAAAAAAAATAAAATTTTTAAAATGATATATATTTTTTTAAAATACTAAAAACTAAAACTAGTTAAAAGACAATTTATTTTTTGTTTTTTTTAATATTTATTTGTGTATTAAAATTAAACCTATTTTATAAAACTATATCTTACAGCTAATATAGCACTGATCTTTTACCTATTTGTACAAATAGTTATATGCAACATATATATGTATATATATTTTTATAATTTTACGTAGTTTTCATGTCATTTTCTAGCCTAAATGCTTGAGTCTTATACTAAATATTGGCTTACAAAATTATATATTATTTCCCTTATTTTGTGGTTGTTTTGTTTTTATGTTTATGAATATTCAGTTGATTTGTTTTGGTTACACATGGGTTCAGACTGTGTTATGATAATTCATGTCTTACGGGCCAGCTCACGAACATACAGACATACATATATCACTCGATTATCTCAATATCACAAGATTCTTAGAGTACAAATTGTGAACGTCGAACGTCGAACGTCGCACACTTTTCTATAGGAATGAACAGCATAATATGAGCACCAGGACAGTTATGGGAAATAGCGCATAGATTTCGCTACGCGGATGACAGGTTGAGATAAGATTGGTGATATCATCGTCCTCGTGCTCGATGCCATCGCGTGTGGGCACCTCGACAACGACAATTTCATCGGACAGGAAACCAATATTGAAGCTGCAGTCGGTGCTGTTCAAGCAGCCACGCGACTCACTTAGGTTAGAGTATTGAAACGTTGGCTTGTATATGTCGAAGATGGCGTGTATATCGTTGCGCACCAGATCGTTGTCACTATAAAAGATATAATAGTAGTAGCCATCCTCTGTGATATTGTGCTTGACCGTATCATGCTTGCCCTGTTCCAGGAAATGCGCATTCATGCACGCCGGCTTGGGTGGAAAGCCCTCGGCCAGCAGGATGGCGCCGTTGAAGCAATCAAAGAGTCCAGTCTCAAAGCTCGATATGGAATTGGATTCATCAGTCTCCGTAAAGTTGACGGCATTGCCGCCGTGACTGTATTTCCGGTCATAAACATTTTCACGCTTCTGTCGCTCCTTGCGCTTGTACAGCTGCTCGTAGAGTTGGCGCTTGCCCAGCTCGTGAGCCGTCTGCCGTCTCTTTCGCTGCACTGGCGTGTTGTGGTCAGGTGCCTTGCCGCTGGGCTCGAACGATTCCATTGACTTGGGCACGGGATGCGGTGTGCCCTTCTTCAGTTTCTTTTGCAGGCGCTTTGCGGGCGTCGGCGTTGAGCTTACGTTTGCTGGCGGATTATCCTCGCTCAAGTCTTCGCCGCCATGATTCTCGTGCTCGAGCAATCCATCGACTTGCAGCTTCTCCTCGGTTATTTCCACCACATCCTCGAAGAACACCTTGACCTGCTCGTGACCCTGGGCATAGTTGGCGCCGAGTTTGTTCTTATTGTGATCTGTGAGGCCGCAAAGCTTCAGCTCCCGCTTGCCCTTGATCACCAGCAAGCGCGATCCATTGTAGCGTGAACAGAACTTGAGCGAGACTCGCGCACCCTTCAGCAAAAAGAAGCCCCAATACTCCAGGGTATCGTCGGGCAGGGTCATCGACTTCTTGAGCCTGATGTGCTTACGATTCGTGGATATTTCGGGCTTATTGCGCAGCTGAAATGCATTAAAGTGGCTATTCATGCGCAGCGTATGCTTCGAGCAGAAGATCGAGGAAATGCCATCCCTTATCTCAATGATGTCGGACTCTGCAACCGGGTAGATGACATCGGCAAAGATCGTCTTGCGCATATAGAGTGGCATTATGATCAGTATTGCCGGCAGTACCACAATCATAATGCAAAATACGAGCACGCGTTTTACGCCGTGCATCTTGCGGGTCTCTGAAATGAAATCAAACAGATAAAAGATAAGTTGCAGATAAGCAGACAGTTGTGAGAACTATGACGGCACATATAAAAAGTTTGCTTAAATAAAGCAATTTTATTATAACAAATATAAAAGTTTGTATAGCGTTCTATAGATTGTAAAAGTATTTCATCCGAAACTATAAGGATTCGAAGACAATATATCAGCAAGTAGGATCTATAATAAATACTGACTGATAATTAAATTAAATTTTATATTCATCATGAAAAAGGTATAAAAGAATATAATTATATATAAATTTTACATAATTTCAACACTTTTAATAATTAAAAAAATATTTTTATAAAATTATATTTATATTTAAAAATTCATTTTATTTTGTTTTTAATTTTCATAGCTTCAATATTTTAAGAGTAAAAAATAATTTACATAATTTAAAGATAATTTATGTATTTGATAAGTTTTTAAACAATTTATTTTATTTCAATTAGCTTTAAATTATTTACTGCTGCATATTAAATCAGTAAATAATTTAAAGCTAATTGAAATAAACATATTTTAAATACCGATTTAAAATTCAAAAATTTGGTTTTTGGACTTAGAATTACGATTATATTAGGAATGTCTTTTTTATATTTAATTTATTTATATATCAATTTTTTGTACATATTTTGCAATTAATTAAATTTGTAATAGTTTATTTATAAACTATTTGTAAAGGGAATTTGAAGTTGATCAAATTTCTCTATTATATAAAGAATATTAGTTTTTAATTTAATTTAATTATACTTAGTTTTAATTATATTGTGTTTAATTTAAATTATAACAGCTTATATATAAGCTAAACTTCTAAAATTTTATAAATTGTTGATAACATTTCATTTAATTTACCACCTTCAAAATGATATTCCGTAATTTGTTGCATTTTTTGTATTTATTTATATTTTGTATTTTTTCTCTTCTTAAATTATTTCCTAATAATTTTAAAATTATTTTTTTTTTAGCACACCGCGCTGCGTGTTGCTTCTAGACAGGTTTTTTGAGTACTGTCTTGATAATGTGATTATCAAATTTGACTGCGCTGCCTCAGACGGCAGATTTTCATTATATTTATCGCACGAGGCGTTTCAGGTGTATTAGTGCAAAGAGGCTCAGTCTGTGTGTACGTCTATCAACAAACCACAACAATAGCAAAATATTGTACAAATATATACCTAAGCTATTTACAAGACTCATTCGGAACCACCGAAACGAGCGTTAAGTGGCTGACTCTATTTGATTAGCGCTTATTGATCAACGCTCCGACTAGATCAAATTGGTTAAACTCATTCAGTAGAATTTTTGTTTAATTATAATTCTATTATTAATATTATTGTTTTTGTTTTTGACTCATGACAAAAGAAAGTTTAAGTAAAACTTTATTGTATCTCAAACTGAGAGGTGTAAGAGCGTCAACAACTAGTTATAACATTAAGAGTATTACTTATTATCAAGTTATATGTGAGTTTGATTAAAAAATGTTATATTTATATTGAATTGTTGGTTATAGTACTGAACAATTTGTACGCTTTTAAATTATTTTATTTGAAATGTAATTTTTATATTTTTATATAGAAATATATATAGAAAAATAATAACAGCAACTTAATATTATTTTATATATTATATTTTATATTTTATATTTTATATTTTATATATTATATTTTATATTTTATATTTTATATTTTATATTTTATATTTTATATTTTATATTTTATATTTTATATTTTATATTTTATATTTATATTTATATTTTATATTTTATATTTTATATTTTATATTTTATATTTTATATTTTATTTATATTTTATTTTATATTTTATTTTCTTTTTATTTTTTTATATTTTATATTTTATATTTTATTTTATATTTTATATTTTATTTTATTTTATATTTTATATTTTATATTTTCTATTTTATTTTATTTTATATTTTATATTTTATATTTTATTTTATATTTTATTTTATATTTTATATTTTATATTTTATATTTTATATTTTATATTTTATATTTTATATTTTATATTTTATATTTTATTTATATTTTATATTTTATATTTTTTATTTTTTATTTTTTATTTTAAAACGCTTTTCTTAAATATTATTTTCATCTTGCATACTTTGCGGCGACAACACTTAATAAATTATCCAGCTTGAGCAAGCTGCTAAGCTTGGTTAAATCATAAAAACTTGTTAATGAAAAGAGTAAGGAAAAGTGTTAAATAAAACTGTTAAGGCCCATATATTTCCCATACTATAAATGGCAGCGGCAAAATAAAAAGGTTTGGAAAATAAATATACATATAAATCTGTATAAAATATTTATACTTAAGGCTTGCTTGTCTGTCTGGCTTTTATTTAATATCAGTAAAAAATGACTTTAATGTGAGACGAGTTAAGGCCTTAAGTTCACAATTACTCATCGATAGTGGCTATTTTCCTATGTATATTAATAAATTGCTGTTGTTGCTATTTGTGGCTTATCAATCTATGTAGTACTAGTGCTTACTTGTCGTAAAACACGTACGTTATCAATTTCATTTTGAAATATATAATGCTTGAGAGCTTCGGAAAATATGGAAGCTTTCCGTATCAAACCCCATCATCGTCACGTTTTTGTCGCATGTTTTTTTTATTTCTATTTTAATATCGGGGGCAAAACTTTTGCGCTAATCGTTTCTAATTTATTTGTACTTATATTAGCTAGTAACAGTTGCTATATATGCAAATATGGTTATCTGCGAAAGAGCCAGATGTGAAAGAGCCAACAAGAGGAAGCAAGCGTCATTAACTTTTATACAACGAAAAAGCTGTTTAAATAGTAATGTTGTCAGCGAACCTAAATATAAACCTTCTCATTAGCCAGCTACGCGTATCAATCAATGTTCTACAAAGATTAAAATCATTATAATTCAAAATTGATTGGAGTTCTTAAAAATTGCGACTGGTGCCAATATAGCCTTGTCTAATTGTTTATAAATTGGCTACAATCAAACATAATAAAAGCTGGGTAATGTATAGGGCTTAGACTGCTAATAGACTTCTTGTCGGACAATCGATTTGAAGTATTTGATAACATTTGTAATCTATATTGAAGTGAGCACAGTTTTGATAAACAGCAAAATGAGAGAAGCACATAAACATAAAGAGTATCACAAGTACGGATAAGACTTGGATTCAGAAAGGGAACTTTACAAGGTATATATATTCTTGATCAGGAAGGCGACTTGATCCAGTCATGTCTTTCTGTCTGTTCCTTCATCCATCTGGGTTTAGGTATCACCAAGTCGGACACTCCTTACTCTTACACTCTTACTTGTAATAAAGTAATTTCTGATTAAGTGTATCATATACAATACATAAACTGTTGTGTAAGACCGATAAGACTTGGTTTTGGTTTTTTTGTTCACAAGTGAGAGAATGGTGAATGATTTCTGATTTCTGATTTGTTTTCATTGCTCAGTGAACATTGCGCAACCACCTTAGGTAGCCACTAACAAATTGTTGACATTGTTTAGCTACCTCTTCTTGCTGGCAATCTAACCACTAACCTATATAAGGTCACAGGTCGAGCATGTATTTGTCGCGAATGTATTGCCAAGTTGGTAAATATTTAATTTTTCCAGACGGCTTGCGCTTAGGTAAATTTCGACAAGTTGTCATTGAAACTAATCGAGTGGATGTTGTTGAGGCAGGTTTATATCCAGTATGCAAACATATCATAAGCTTCAAACTTGTTTTGCAGAACACCAAAGAGTAGAGTTAAGATCTTGTTGTTACTTGTTTTTTATGGATGTATATACGTTTCAAGATTTTAAATAGACTGTATTGACGATAATAAAGATATGAAAACTAACTTTTGTGATATGGTACGGGAGTATAAGTCTGTAGATATGTATAATAATAAGTGTTGCTTTTGAATTTTTTATTATATACAGCTTTTATTTTTTACATTGAAATACAAATTTTCTCTTAGCATAGAAGCCAAAGAAAAAGTTTAAGGTTTTTAAAAATTATCTTTTGATATATTTTGATACTTTTATCTATCGATTCTACACTTCAACAATATGATCCTAACTGAACTCTAGTTGCTCATAATCTAGCCATTTTTTATGAGTCTGTCTGAAAGTAGTGTGGGCTTATATAGAGGTAGAGCATCCTAAATATTTCAAAATTAGCTTAGAGTCATTTTTGGAATTTTTCACATATTCTAAGACCTGTTCTGATTTTAAATTTTAAATTAGATTTAAGTATCCGACGCAGAAATATGTTTAATTCAGTTTTAATGAACTTTTCCTCTGTTTGAAATTTGTATCTCTTTTATATCGTAATAAATTATATTAATTTTGATATATATTTATAGTCATTTTCTATGGTCTATCGTAGCATATAGAAATAACAATATTCATATGAAGTTTTGTCTTAATTAAATTACATTTTCTCTATATATTAATTATCATGTGGAAAGTATAGAATTTGTTGAAACTAGAAGAGCTCTTAGGCCGTCTTAATGCTGCTATATATATAGTATATAGTTCTCGTAAACTTGAACTACCTTGACTAATTCTTGCACATTTTGCGTTTCTAGTGCTCATTCAGTGTTGTTAGCGTGTGCCTCGAATAAAATTTAAATATGTGCTTAAGTACGCGTACTTATGCATATAAATATATATATGTATATACTATATAGAGATATATATGTAGTTGTAGCTGTGCTATGTAACATTTTTGTTGTTCATGTCTTATTCTCATGTTTCCGCTATTTCTTCTTCTTCTCCTTATTATTCTTGTTGTTGTTAACTTACATGTTTATTTGTTCTTGCTATTTAGCTTATTTACGTTTTGGCTCGCGGACAACGTTGACAACGTCTCAGCTGCGACGTCGACAGCGCTGTCAGCGTCGTCGTGACGTTGATATGTGCAAGCTTCTGCTGCTGCTGCTGCTTATGCTTCTTCCTCTTGCTCCTCTGCTTGCAGTTTGTTTTGTTTATTCTCGCTTTGTGTATGTAGAAAGAGTGACGATAGCGAACCCAAAAGCAACAAATACTTTTTGGTTATCAACACGTGCAGAGTTTTTGCTTTATTATCAGTCGTGCTTTATTATTATTATTATTGTCTGCTTCTGCCTCTCACCTATGCTATTTTGACACACATTTTTTATCAACAACTGTTGTCTTGCTAATGTTTTTTATGGCACACTCTCTCACTCACTCATTCACTCTCTCTCTCTCTCTGCCTTAGCTTTTCTTTGGCGTCTATTTTTGTTATATTTCTTGCTCTTTGTTTATGGCACAGGCAGTTGTTTCTTTTTCCCTTTTTTTGTGATATTTATAGCACTTGCAAAATGTTGTACATTATTTATTTCATATAAAATTCGCTAGTTTTTATTAAAAAAGAAAACCATTCTCGACGGGAATTACGAAATATTTGCTGAGCGCCGCGCCGCACGTACGCTCGCTCGCTAGCTCCCAGACTGACAACTGATGACGGACTAACTGGCATCGCGACTCTCGGCTGTTGGAATGGAAATTTTTTTTCATCATCGCACAATATGAAAAACAATGGGATTAACCAAGCGTCATTCTGATTACGCTTGCGCTCTCCTTCTCTCACTCTCTCTTGTGCTGTCTTGCTCTTTGCTCTCGGAAAAATCATAACAACTCTCTGAGAAAACGCGTTTGTTTTGATGTGAAGTTGGCTGCGCTGCTGGTATTGGTTTGAAACTTGACTAAATTATACCCTATACATGAATCGAATTGGCATGAAAGGTATTTGAAGTCTAATATTTAATATATTAATTGACCTGAGAATTTATTGATTTGACTTAATTAAATAGTCGAATTATATATATACATGAACTTATATACTTATATAAGTATATACAATTTTTTAAAATTTTTATTGAAATATTTATAAGTGATTGTGTTTGCTTCTGATAATTTATTAAAATCTAAACGCAGCAGCTGCGTAAGAAAATTTTATCTATTTGGAAGATAAGAAGATAACGCGCGTTTCTCGCTTGTTTTTGCTTAAGATAAATGCTTGTCATGAATAAGTTCATTTCTGATATCAAAGAGATTAACTATGGAAATATACATGGAGTGGATACACTTATGATTGTCATTGTTATTGTATTTTTAGTACATATATAAACACACAAATTATAGTTTTTATTTGAATTTAACGGAATAAATTCTAATGCAAAAGTCTGCCCGCTTAAGCATAATCATATTATAAAATTGTAGCATAGTTAAATGTTGTTTAGAAATTAAAAATTAAATCTTAAATAAAAAAGTAAAATATGATTAATTTTGTAATATCTTAAAGAAAAGTTTTCATTACTGAGACAAAAAGTATTTTAGCATACTGCTATTAGATAGGTGCTGTGAACCGGAATAAAATATAGAATATCAAATTTAATAAAAAAACTAAATAATAAAACAAAAAATATTAAATGGATAAATCTTAAGCTATTAATAACTTTTGTATATATTTTATTATTTAATAAGAATATGAAGTTTTCTCTTGTATTTTCGATTTATAATAGAAAAAATAAATTTAAATAAATTTATTAAATTTATAAAATGTAAGTTTAGCTATTAAAATTATGGTTTCTTAAAATTAAAATTAAACTGCAATTAATTTATAATAAAAAATTAATAAACTAAACTCATTATATTTTGTTTAAGATTAATATGATAAACACAATCTTTACGTCTTGAAAAATATAATTTGCTTAGAAAGACTAACAGAAATTGATGAATCTAGAGAATCAAGAATCAGGCAATTATTTTATTAAGGATTTTTTTTATTTGTTTGGTGTAAATATAAAGTCTGTTTAGACTATTACATCACTTGTTTCACAAACGTATTGGAGATAAAAAACAGTTGCTTAACATTGAAAAAAGGTTTTGAGTAGAAATCTTTAACTGTCTTTCTGACACAGATTTCTCTTGGCTGCACCTTAAACTTTTCTTGTAATTGTTAAATGAGAATATCTCGTTAGCCCGACTGGCTCACAAGTCCTGTACTGTACTGCAAAGCTGTAGCAACACTCACTATGCAAATTGGGCATCGAGTAGTAGAAATCCGTGTGATAATAATGCAATTGTCCGGCACTGATATTTGTGCTATGTTTCATAAAGGATTCGCTGGCCATGTTGGACAAGGATTCCAAAATTTGAAACGAAATTAAAAGATTGATATGTATCAACGATCCGACTCGGGTGAATTATCGCCGCTAACTAACTCGGAAATAATCTCTGGATGACTTTCAACAGCTCTGTCTGATTGCCCACAGTTGACGATGACGTCCCACGGGTAGTAGACAGCCGGGAGCTGGGAAATGTCAACTGAAGACACAAAAACAATAACAAAAGTGTGCTGTCTGCTGCCCTGAGATAGTTCGCAGATGTAGTGCGCTTTATCCGACCGTACAGTATGGCTGATAAACGGACGAGAGTAATTTCCATTTATTGGTATAGTAAATGGCAGAAAATACACACAGTGTAAAAGCAAACAACATTGACTCATTGATAAGAGCTTAAAGCTGATTAGCAGAGTGGGACATGTGTACATGTGTCTAACATGCCGCGCCCTTTATATCAATTGCAGGGTGTCTGTTGCGGCCATAGGCTTAATTGGAAATTCAATATCAGCAGAAATATCTAATGTATAGCAAAAGAGAACCCAAAGAACTTGACCGCATACTTAGATCTGAAAAGTTGTCAATTTTTATTATCGTGAAACACAAATATCAGTTATACAACTTGATTTAATGCTCAAGAAATTATCGCGACAGTTTCTTAGGAATTGATGTAAACTTATTTCAGATAAAAACATATTTTGATTGATACTGTTTCCTTCAAATACCCAGTAAAATTGATGAATTGGTGATCATTGCTCATTGATCATTGATCATATCTAACAGAATATGTAGTCTATCTATTTAACTTTGTCTTTGTTTCTTTGAGTATTTTTTAAACAAGTTTCTTTCCAATTGATCAATAAATATTTATTCAAGCAAAATTTATACTTGAAACCTATTTTAAAACTGAATTTATTATATTTTTATAAATGTCATGAAAAATCAATAATAACATTTGAATCGATTACGCCATGGCCATCCTATCTACTGATCAATCCGTCTGCTCGTGCGTCCGCATTTATAATATGCATTGATTAAATTAAATATAATATTTATATAAAATATAGTATGTATATATTTCAAATATAAAAAAAATATAACTATATATATAAAATATAATATATTTATATTAAAAAAAATGTATATGTACAAAATATAAAATATAATATTTATATGTAGACAAAATATAAAAATCATATAGAGCAGCTCGTCACTGGGTTCAGTGTAGCTTCTAGTCTGTCACTCCCGACAAAAGCGCTCTTACGTCTACAATTTTATCTAGTAATTTACCTAATTTTCCTTTTTCTGGACATTCAATAATCTGGATTTTTTTTTTATTTATATTAAAATTAATATTAAATAAAGAATGTTGTTCACGTCGGCATGCACTTTATTGTTGTAAAGCAACTTCTTCTGCTATATCTTTTTTAATCTTATCTGTCTAGCTATATAAATGTAAGATTTATATAGCCATATTATGGACTTAGCTGCAATTCTTATCTATTTAAAATAGGCTTTGCTAATATTTTTACATAGACTTTGCTAAAAGGGAAATGTTGATTGTTTTATTATTTAAGTAAATATTCGCTTTACTTGACTAGAATATATAATGATTATCATTATATATATACTTAAGTTGAATATTTTTGCTTTTCTTGCAGTGAGTTAATATTATTAAGAGAACATTCAAATTTTCATTTGGCCCAAAAGTATGCAAAAGTGTTGTAATAATTTTTTCTAGCTATTTTAATTTGCATATCGGACATATATATTACCTCTGCAATGGTTTTACTAAAATCCAATTATCAGCAAATATTTTGTAATACCTTTTTTACGTAATTAAAATATTCTTAAGCTCTTCAAATATTGTTCTACACAAAACAGTTTGTTTTTATAAGCAAAAGCACATATTGCTTTATAGACGGCTTCAAATAATATTGTATATACAAAATAACAAAATAATCAAACTTTATTTGATAAAATATTTCGATTAATAAAGAAAATAATGCTCATAGCAACAGTATTACATATTACTACATAAGGGAGCAGATGTCTTTCTTGGAAACATTTTACATTTCTTGTTTATCGACAAAAAAAAACCTTAAAAGCAAAACCTTGTCTGTAATGTATTGCCTGCTACGGCAGGTGTTGCTGTTGGCCATCGTGTTTAACAGTTACTTTTTAAAACTAACTTCAGTTGAAGAACGTAAGAGACCTCTAGTCGGGGCTGATCGACTAGAAAAGTCCCTGCATATTACATATTACAAACATTCTACGATTCTTCTATATATATATTCTATATGTATATAAGATAGCAATCAACCCATGCACACATGCACACATGCACACATACTAACACGCACACACGCACGCGCTCTGTTTGCTGCGCAGTTGACGCAGCAGCTGCGCTTTGACTGCGCTGTGGGCTCTACTAAGGGGGCTTTATTATGGAATAACTTTTCTTATAGATGGACTTTCTTCATTACATTTTCAATGTTCATATAAGGCATTCAGATATCAATTTATTTATTATCTATTATTATTTATTTATTATTTATTATTTAATTTTTTATTTATTATTTTTTAGTTTAAGATGAAAGGAGGGATAGTTATTCAATTCAAAAAAACACAAAATAGCTGTATTTATTACAGAAATCTACATAGTTAGTCTTAAGTTTTCAAAATTAAAGCTACGTTGAAAAATCGATTTTTATCGATACGAAGGGAATGATGTACTGCAGACAGCCGGGCATGGCTAGATGACGTGATCGTCTTGGAAATCTTGCTGATCCAAGCGTATATATGCTTTATGGGGTCTGCTACAGCTCCTTCTGCCTCTTAGATACATCTTGACACAACTATTATAACCTGAATTCCCATTTAGAATGTGTTCAGGGTATAAAAACATTTGTTTAACAGGCAAGGCCATCGAACAGTTTTTTGCACTTCCGCAAATAGTTGAGAAAATCAAAACATTTTTAAGAAAAAAACATAATTAATAATTTCATTAAATTATATTTCCATCCTTGCCTGCCGCACTGTTCGTGACATGACAAAGCAACCGAAAAAGATAATTTGTATTTTTGTATATTTGCAGATAGCAACTTGTGTAAATGAGCTGTTTCAGTTATTTCTGATGAATTCGTGGCTTTTCAATTATTTAAAGAACACGTTTTCGACATTCACGCAAGTTCAAGGTGAGCAGGTTTTACTTACTCAATTTATGGAATATTTAACTATGTTTTTAAGAGAGAGAATCTTAATGGCTGCTTCACTTAAGCCTAATCAATAGAGATATTTAATTTGTGATTGTTCGAATTTAGTTTTGTATGCCTTAAGCCGATGGCGAGGGCTTGTGCTAAAGTGAATTCTTGCTGAGTCGATCAAAGCTTGTTCGTCTGTTCGTTAGTCCACAGAGACTTTGAAACGTTGTGGAGCTTAGGCTTGAGAACTGTGCAGATTTTTTATGGAGGCCTAGAGGCCACGCCTCTAGCGAGCGTGGACTTATAGATTTTGCATCGATCCGTATAGGCTCTTAACAGTGTCTCATAATAAATTTGTAGGCTCTGCCACGCCCCCAATGTGCGATATATCTACTACATATTTTCGATCCTGGGCTTTCCCCGCGAGCATATTAATTTCCAACTTGTAGCCTTCAGCGCTTTACATAACAGCATTTCTGACATATCAGATGTAGTATTCCCTATCTACCACGCGCCTAGCGGTCGTATCGGAATACTCTTAACACTTATCAGACGAGGCCACCCACTAATATTTTTACTAAATTTAATTTCGCTAACTGGAATGGTTTGCATTGATACTAACAGGTGGACGGGCGGATTGACGGACGGATGGACGGATTGAAAGACGGACGGATGGACGAACGGATGCACGTACGGATGAACGGACAGACGCATAGACGGCGAACGGACTTACAGACGGGCATTGCATAAAACCAATACACCCGGCTCAATTCAAGAAAGAGCATAATAAAGCGTAGAATCATTGATCAGCTCTAAGTAAGGTTCAGGGTCGAGCACTACCGATTAGAGCACTCTTGTCTAAGTATATTTATAAATTGTCTTTATACCATTTACCAAGTGTTACCAAGTGTTCCCTCAAAATAAGTTGCGACTACACCCACTTTATTTGCTATCAAATATTGAGTTTGCTGTAGCGTAATGACAGCTGTGCGAGTATGTTGTTGCTGGTGCCTCTAGCCACCCACGACATTTATAATTGGGCTTGTTTAATGATTGTCACACTTGTCAGAAGCTACCGCAGGTGCGAAGAGAATCACGTTTCTTTTGGCCAAAAAGAAGAAAAAATACGCATAGCACGCTCGGAGGGGTATTACCATCACTCATTCATTGATAAAGTCAAATGTCAAAAGCACCATGAGAGCCGAAGACAGCGCCTCCTCGAAATAGGGCTAAACAGCTTCGAAGTTAGTTGAGTTCGGTTCGCGTCCAAAAGCACATCATGAGTGCTCGTCTTGCCAGCGGCCACTTCTTATACAAATGGTTCGCCTTATGCTTAATCCTGGTTATCGTATTCACAAAGTACATATCGGATCGAAATGGCGCTGGCGATCGTCTCAGCAACGTATCAAACACACAACGTGCCAATACCAATGCCAATCCCACACCACCTACAGGAGGTGTTGTGCCTCAGACTGTGGTGCCAAAGTATTATGTGCATACATCGCAGTGCATGATACCCTACATAGATCCATTTTCGCCGGAGGTTATGGAAATCTATGAGCCACGCACATTCATACCATGCTCGAATGACAGTGATCTAGTCTCGGCCATATTCGATGAGAAACTTGAGAGATATGTGCTGCATATCGATCAGGGGGTAGCTCGTCAGCTGCTCAATTCAAGTGACATGGAGTTCAATTGTTTCTATCGCGCGATTCAGGTTGGGCAACATGTGGAAACCTATGACATGTAAATTGCTTAAGCTACGCACTTTCTGTTAAATCTCTCTAAACTGCCGCCTTCTGTGCTCGCTCAGCCTCAGTCCGAGTAAATATTTCAGTCAGGGCTATGTGGTGCCGCCAAATGTGGACGGTATGCTGGTGGACTGCGAGACCGCCGAGGCAACGCCCGTCAAATTGCAAAGAGACGCCTTCGTACTGATACAGCCTAATAAGCCCAAGCCCAAAGCGAATGGGAAGAGTCCGCGCAAGCCGAGTGTCATCATGTACGGCATCGATACAATCTCCCGGATAAATCTACGGCGCACTATGCCCATGGTGCACAGATTCTTGCAGGGACCCGGATGGTACGAAATGCGGGGCTACAACAAGGTTGTATTGATCGTAGATCCGTAAGTCTTCGCCGGCTGAACGTAGTCCATCATTTTCAGGTGGCCGACAATTCGTTTCCCAATCTTCTGGCCATTCTGAGTGGCTATACGCCGGAGACGGCCAAGGAGCACGTCTGCGATACGGACAACGACGGCTGCCTCGACGAGCTGCCCATGATCTGGAAGTACTTTAGAAATGCCAGCTATTTGACGGCCTATGCGGAGGATGAGAGCTCATCGAATACGTTCACTTATCTTAAGCCGGGCTTCAACAAGAAGCCCACCGATTACTATTTCCGTCCATTTCTGCGCGCTCTGGAAATGAAGTTGGAAAATTATAAGTGTCCCGGCTGCTACATGACCTACTGCTATGGTCGTCGCTTGGCCAACTCCTATGTGTACGACTACTGCAAGCAGTTCATGCAGCGGCATGTGGCAAAGCGGCCTATTTGGGGCATGTTCTGGTCGAATCACTTCAGTCACGATGACTACTTCATGCCCTCGGCCATGGAGCAGAAGGTGCTAGGCGACCTGCTGGGCTACCGCAGCGACGGCGCGTTCGAGCACACAATAATGATATTCTTTGCAGATCATGGGGCACGCTTTGGCAAGTTGCTTAGTCTGGCCGAGGGTTACTTGGAGGAGCGTTTGCCCATGATGTTTATCTATTTGCCGCCGTGGTTTCGCGAACAGTATCCGCAGTACACTGAAGCGCTGGCGCTGAACCAGCATCGTCTCAGCTCCAACTTCGACTTGCACAATACGCTAAAGCACATCATTGAGCTCGGCGGCACACCGGATGGACCGGCTCTGCCCAGGTCCTACGATTGCCCCACCTGCCATTCACTGTTCTATCCGATTGCCGAGAATCGAACCTGTGCCGCGGCCGGCATAGCAGAGCATTGGTGCACGTGCCAGCCATATCGAAGGCTCAATGATGCCCTTTGGACCGATCGCATTGCGATGCGCGTGATCGAACGGATGAACGTCTATTTTGTAGAGAAGAATCTCAGCTCTCTATGCAGCAACTTGTCATTGCACTACGTGCACTATACGCAAATTAAGACAGGCCTAGACATCAGCTGGAAGGACGATTTGCCAGAGGTGGAGCAGGCGGTCTACCGCACCAAGTTCAAGGTGCAGCAGAATAGCGCCGATTTCGAGGCCACAGTTGTGTTCAATAATATTACAGAAGCGGTCGATGTGAACGTCGAGAGCATAAGTCGTACGAATTCCTATAAAGAAGACTCGACTTGCATTAACAATAAAATAGCCAAATTGTATTGTATATGTTTTAGTGACTTAAAGCACTAGCCCAGATTCCATAAGCCAACCTAAATATCTAGCTGATTTGCATAACTATTGCTAGTACTTAATGTCATCTCACTCGATAAACTTAGGTCAACTGCATAAGCTCTCTAATCAAATATTAATTAATTTAAGTGTTATTTGTCCTTTCCGCTTAATTTAATCATAATTTTAGGATTAATATTGTAAAATGTTTTGTTTCTGTCTGCACTTCACTTTTAGTGAATGAATAAAGTTTTTTAAAAATTGTATCTTAGTTTTACTTTCTCCATATATTCCAAAAAGCGTAGTGAACCAAGATCAAAGCTTAAGCAGAACTGGATACTTGCTATTAAAGTTTGTTTCCGCTGCGAAAGATATGAAATTGAGGCGTGAAATATGCTGAACTTGAAAGCGAAGTCGTGGAGGTTTTGCGATAAGAAAATATCCGATATATTGGGTAGATATATATGACTACTAGGCACAACTAAGAACTGAAATATTTCTCTTGACTTTACAAATTGTGCTTCATGTAACAAATTGAAGCTATTCATTTTAGTCCATATAAAAGATTCCATCAGTGAGATTTATAGATACTCTACTCTACTCTCCTTTACTCTGAACATATTTTGCTTTATTCTAAAGCAAAGAGCAGCCATTGTTAAACCCATTGCAAATGGGCACTTAGGGTATATTGGCTTTATGAATATATAACACGTAGCAGGAGGCCTGATCGATCTAGCTCTGTCTGTGTGAATGCTGTGCGCTAGAGAAATATAATATATATTAAATATAATATATATTAAATATAATATATATTAAATATAATATATATTAAATATAATATATATTAAATATAATATATATTAAATATATATTTTTGTATAGCATGCAATACAAGCATTTTTTCATCGATAACTCAGCTCGTTAACGATAAAAGTCGATCATTTGGCTTCGTTTTTTGAGCGTAGCTTGAATGCCGTAGTTACTGGTGCTTTTAGATTTACTGTGTAGGTTTCTGTAGTGTATTTAATGATTTTGCATATTTTGGATTTTGAATTCTAGATACCTGCACGCGTCTCTACATATAGTGAAAAAAGGCATTTTAAGTTCTAGAGACTGCTGCTTGGGCGCATAAGCACATACGAATATCATAATCATGCTCTGAAAATTTCATTAAGTAAGATCTTCTAGAAGCAGAGTTATACCACAATTAAGTTCTCTTCGTATAGCTCACAGCGCAGTCCAAGCGCAGTCCAAGCGCAGTCCAAGCGCAGTCCAAGCGCAGTCCAAGCGCAGTCCAAGCGCAGTCAGCTGCGCAGTAAGCAGAGCGCGAGCGTGTGTATGTGAGTGTGTATGCATGCATGTGTGTAGGTGTGCATGGCTTGTTTGCTATAAAAGTGTAAGAGAATCGTAGAATGTTTGGAATAACAGCTCTTCGCATGATGCAGGGTATATTCCAGTCGAGCAGTCTCAGCGAGAACTCTTCTACGTCTTGCGCAGTTTTCACGCAAATTAAGACAAGAGTTAATTAAATTCAGCACAGCTGGAAGCATATTAAATTTGAACAGATCCATGCTATTCGTCAGAGTCACTTATGCCGCGCCATGGCCAAGGCGTTGCTGTTGCTGTGCTGCCTACTGGCTGCAGTTAGTCGAGCTGCGGCTCGATTGAGCAATGAGACGTATTTTGTGAATAGTGCTTTCTGCAAAATGCCCTATGTGGATCCTTTTACGGCGGATGTGCTGGATGCCATCGCAGTGAATAAGTTTGCGAAATGTCGCGATGATAAGGATATAGTCATAGCCGAATACGACTTCGAGCTGAACGCGTATCGTCTGCGTATTAGAGAAGAAGAAGCCATGTCCTGGTTTAAGGTGAATACTACGCTGGAATGTAAATACGCCAAGATTGCCAGAGGTGGCTCAAGCGGGTCGCCAGACAACACTTTTCGGTGAGTTGTATTGAAGCGATCTGCTGCTGTGATCTTGTGTCTTGATTAAACTTTGTGTTGTCAGTGTGGTGTATAGACGCACCCTGCCGCAGGACTACATCGTGCCGCCGGAGGTTCAGTATATGCTAGTCCAATGCTCGGTAGTGAATGGAAAGGAGAAGCGCATAGTGCAGACGGATGGCATCGCCTTTGTACAGGATTATGAGGAACGGAGCAGTGAAGAGCATCTGGAGGAGCTGGCAGAGGAGCCCAAGCCGAGTGTTATTATATTTGGTATCGATTCGATGTCGCGCATCAATTTACGGCGCACCATGCACAGAACATTCAGATACGTTCAGCAAGCTGGTTGGTACACGCTGCAGGGTCTCAATAAAGTGGGCGACAATACCCTGCCCAATCTGTTGGCCATGCTAACGGGCTACTCCCTCGAAGATGTGGCGGCAATATGCGATGTGCAGGAGCAGGGCTGCTTCGACCAATTACCATTTATTTGGAAGCGCTTCAAGCTCAACAACTATACGACGGCCATGGCAGAGGACTGCATGGACATTAGCACGTTTAACTACTTAAAGCCGGGATTCGCCAAGCAGCCCGTCGACTATTATTTGCGCCCTTTGATGGTGGCCATGGAGAAGTCGTTCCAGCCGAACCCATTCTATGATGAGAAAACTTGCGTGGGACGCCATCTAAGTTTTGCCTACGTCTGGGACTTTGCCAAGCAATTCATTCAACGTTTCATACGTACGTCGAGGCCAATGTTTGGCTTGTTCTGGACGAACAGCTTCACACACAATAAGTTCGACAAGAGCATCGCCTTGGATGAGCTATTCGTTGAGTACTTCAAGCAGTTCGAGAGCAACGGGCTATTCAATCGATCAGTCGTCATACTGACGAGCGATCACGGCATGCGCACCGGCGTGTTGAGAAGGATTCCAACTGGCTATTTAGAGGAGCGTATGCCCATGTTCTATATACATCTGCCGCCGTGGTTCCGGCGCAGATATCGGCGTCTGGTGGCCAATTTGGCAAAGAACCGCAACCGTCTGAGCTCCACTTTTGATATATATATGACGCTGCAGCATCTGCTGCAACTTCAAAGCACGACAAATGCGGACATTCAGCCCAATTCGGCAACGTGCCCCAGCTGTCAATCGCTGTTCTTCCCGCTGCCGATCAATCGAACCTGCTCCGAGGCGGGCATCACTGAGAAGTGGTGCACCTGCCATCCCACTGCGACTGTCACCACGGAGCCATATGCGCTCAAAATGTCCAGGGCAGTGGTGCAACACATGAACGATGAGTTGGTCGAGCGAAATCTAACGGACCTCTGTGCCAACTACACATTGGTAGGCGTCACATATCTGGACTACAAAATCGCATTCAGCTCGAACCTAACTGACGATACCTCACAATATTACGTAATTCAATTCGCCACGCAACCCAACGCCGCCATGTTCGAGGTGACATTCAGTTGGAACAATCGCACAGCTGCCGTGAACATGAATATCCAGGAGATAAGTCGCTTAAATTTCTATGGACACGATGCTAAGTGCATTAACGATCCGATTGCCAAAAAGTATTGCATATGCAAGAACGCGATAAGAACGACCACAAAGACTCCGAAGACGACGACCGCAGGCATTTGAAAGCGGGGAGAGCTATTTCTTACTCGAAAATAAACAACAAGTTCTATTATGTAAAAGATATAATTTAGTCTATTCCATATGTCAAAGCGACGATCGACAGACGCAGAGGTTGTGGGCGACGCTTTCATCCAGGCATCTGCCATGTGCGTCTAGACGTAGTATTTGCTGCTGGGGCACGTCGATAAAGTTATACTTGTTGCTGATGAAAATGTTGCCGAGAAAAACGGCCTTCGGCTGGGTGATGAACTTGATCTGATACCTTTCAGTACCGTCCACTGGCTCCACCATTTGCCCCTCCACATTATAGATTTCTTCATGATCCACCGTCAGCAAACGTTCCAGTTGCAGGTGATGGCATTGCCGGACATGGTTTTTCCCGTACAAATATTGGTTTATGCGAAACACAATTATCTTCGCCCAGAGCTGCACCAACTCGCTCTCCGGTACTCGTGCACACGGACGACACGCGCAAAACTGCCCTGCAATGGAGGCCTGAGCACAACTGCGATTCCTTGGCACCACGTACAACAACGACATGCAGCTCCTGCACACGATCTCAAAGTCCAAGTTGGGATGTGCATGCAGGAGCAGATCCTTAATGGTCAAATGCAAATCAGTCGTGGAGCACAGCCGGCGACGATTCACGTCAAGCGCGTGCGCAATCTCTGGATACTGTTTCCGGTACCAGGGCGGCAAATAAATGTGCAGCATGGGCAATCGCTCCTCCAGGAAGCCGGATGCCAACTTCATCAAGGGGCCCTTCCGCTGTCCATGGAGGCTGAACAAGATGACAACTGCCTTCTTAAATAAGCCGTGCTCCCTGTACAGCTCCAGATACTTGACGAAATCCTCATCCACTCGTGCCGCTGCACTGAAGTCCTCATGGCTGAAGCTTTTCGTCCAGAAGAGTCCGAAGAGCGGCTTCTGCGTCTCGTGCATGAATCGCTGGACAACCTGCAGACAAGATTCCAAGACATAGCGAAAGCTCTGCTTCCGTCCCAGGCAGTAGTCGTCCTTCACGCGCTTCACTCCTTCCATGATTTGCCTGAAAGCTTCCAATATGGGATACAGATAGTAATCAACGGGCTTTCGCGTGAAATTAAGCGTGGGAGAATCCTCCGCGAAGGCAGTCAAATAGCCCGAATTGTGAAAGTGATTCCACAGGTAAGTGAGGGCGTCCAAGCAGCCCGGCCTCCTCACATCACAGTATGGCTGCCACTGTTGGCCGAACTTGCCCGATAAAAGGCTTAACATACCCTCGACCACTTTATTGCTGACTGTATTATAGCCAAGCATCTCATACCAGCCCAGCTGGCGCACAAACTGAGCTGTCAATGGCATAGTCCTCTGAAAGTTCATCTGTGACATGGAGTCAATGCCCAACATAATCACAGAAGGATTGATACGACTGCGTTCCTCATCATTCTTCTCATTCCGACCAACTGGATACTGGACAAGAGGAAATGCATCGCGTTGCAGGATTCGGGATCTGTTACCTATTTCGTGGCATTCTACGACAATGCCTGAAATGTGACGAGGTACGATCCAATCGCGACAGGCAACTGGTAAGTCCTTGTTCCTGAAATCGATGCCTCGATTACTGACATTGAACTCTAGCTTAAGATAACCTAATACCTACCAAGAGGGCGGCTCCCTTGGTCCACTGACTATCTGGTAAAAGACACAGGCATAGTCAAGTACATTTGGGAATAGCTCCATGAATAGGGGCTTATTAAAGCGTAGAATATATTGATTGAGCAGCTTATCATATCGAACAGTGAATAAATCGGGTTGATCCACGCAATCCTTCAGTTTGGGGGGCTTAAAAATTGCCATGACATCAGCGGAGAAAGGATCGATTCTTGGTATTTTGCATTCATGATCGAAAACGCCAAATTTGCGCTGAGTAGGAACTCGGGTAGGTTCTCTGCTTGTTGTGGCCTCTGCTTGGATAGAAGTTGTCACGATTTCTTGCAGTTCATGTTTAGTTATGTAACTAAAATATATGTAGACGAAAAGGACTAACAGGATGGCGAGTAGCAGCTTGCCGTTAATCAGCAAACGATACATTGTGAGAGTTCGGAGTTGTTTGTGTGTTTGTGTTGAGCACCTACTGAGTTCAAACTGTAGGACGTAGGACGCAAATGAATGAATGAATTTGTTAGTAGCTCAGACCTGGGGCTCATCAAGAAGCGATACAGATAGGACATTAGGCTCGAGTATTATTTCCAGAAAGATTTGCGAAAGAAAATATTAAAAAATAAGTGAGATTTGATTCAGTCAATTCTGAAATTTAGTCGAAAATAGTTTCGTCCTTAGACATTACTCAATTCCTTGATTATTGCTGTTAGTTGCAAATAAAATATAATTTACAAAACTTTTTGTTATTACTTAAATAAAGTTTGTTAAGAGAAGGCTGTTAATAAATAGTTCAAAATATAAACGGAAACAAAAACAAACTACGAGAATGTTTCATCGTCCGACTTTTAGTTATAGAAAACTTCTGCTTGCCCTCATTCTGATCACAACTATTTATATATACGTTGAACATGAGACTAAAGCTGTTGCAATTGAGCGAAGGCCAACAGATACTCGAAATCTCTCCATTAATGTGTCCAGCCAGTCTCGGGCCACTGCTCCGACTATCGCCTTTAATGTGTTTGACCATCAATGCAAAATACCACGAATCGATCCTTTCTCCGCTGATGTCCTGGCAATTTTTAAGCCCCCCAAACTGAAGAAATGCACGGATCAACCCGATTTATTCACTGTTCGCTATTATAAGCAGCACAATCAATATATGCTACGCTTTAATAAGCCCCTATTCCTAGAGCTGTTTCCAACTGTACGCGACTATGCCTGTGTCCTATACGAGATAATCAGTGGACCAAGGGAGCCGCCCTCTTGGTAGGTATTAGGTTATCTTAAGCTAGAGTTCAATGTCAGTAATTGAGGCATCGATTTCAGGAACAAGGGCTTACCAGTTGCCTGTCGCGATTGGATCGTACCTCGTCACATTTCAGGCATTGTCGTAGAATGCCACGAAATAGGTAACAGATCCCGAATCCTGCAACGCGATGCATTTCCTCTTGTCCAGTATCCAGTTGGTCGGAATGAGAAGAATGATGAGGAACGCAGTCGTATCAATCCTTCTGTGATTATGTTGGGCATTGACTCCATGTCACAGATGAACTTTCAGAGGACTATGCCATTGACAGCTCAGTTTGTGCGCCAGCTTGGGTGGTATGAGATGCTTGGCTATACTAGCGCTGGAGATTATACGCTTTATAATCTGATGATTTTTTTGACTGGTCGACCACCGCAGCGGTTGCAACCCTTTTGCGATATGGCTAAGCCGGGCTGCTTGGATGCCATCACATATCTCTGGAATCACTTTCACAACTCGGGCTATTTGACTGCCTTCGCGGAGGATTCTCCCACGCTTAATTTCACGCGAAAGCCCGTTGATTACTATCTGTATCCCATATTGGAAGCTTTCAGGCAAATCATGGAAGGAGTGAAGCGCGTGAAGGACGACTACTGCCTGGGACGGAAGCAGAGCTTTCGCTATGTCTTGGAATCTTGTCTGCAGGTTGTCCAGCGATTCATGCACGAGACGCAGAAGCCGCTCTTCGGACTCTTCTGGACGAAAAGCTTCAGCCATGAGGACTTCAGTGCAGCGGCACGAGTGGATGAGGATTTCGTCAAGTATCTGGAGCTGTACAGGGAGCACGGCTTATTTAAGAAGGCAGTTGTCATCTTGTTCAGCCTCCATGGACAGCGGAAGGGCCCCTTGATGAAGTTGGCATCCGGCTTCCTGGAGGAGCGATTGCCCATGCTGCACATTTATTTGCCGCCCTGGTACCGGAAACAGTATCCAGAGATTGCGCACGCGCTTGACGTGAATCGTCGCCGGCTGTGCTCCACGACTGATTTGCATTTGACCATTAAGGATCTGCTCGTTCATGTGCATCCTGGCATTGTGTTTCAGAAGGAGCAAATAAGAGCACAAACGTTGTTTGAGAGATTGCCCGACAATCGCAGTTGCGTGGATGCTGGCATTTCGCTCTACGACTGCAGCTGTGATCTGCATGTGACAATTGCAAACAGCCCACAGATGATTGAGCTAGCCAAGTTAGTTGTCTACCGCATGGCGAATTATCTGAGCACATCGAGCGTTCTGAGTAAATGTTATCAACTGAAGTACGAACGCTTGTTAAGAGCTCAGCTGCAGACGTATTTCGACGCTGATGGAAATCAGTTGGGCTCGAATAATGAGTTTCTTTCTTACCGCTTGATGTTCTCAACTCGACCCAAAGGTGTTTTCTATGCAACGGTACTGTGCAGCCAGAGGGCGAATATCGTGAATGTGCGCGAGAGCTGGATAAGACGTTTGAATTTCGCTCCCAACGAAAGCCAATGTGTTGATATGCCCCAGGCAAGAGAGCTTTGCATATGCAGGCCACAAACCTAATGGCCAAAACCTAATTGGCTTTCAAGGTTCAAGGTGCAACGAGTTCCAGCGAAGTGCCATTATTGTGAGTTACAAAGTATTAAGCAAACAAGTCTCTAACGGAGGCAGAAGCCTACCAAAGCCGCATTGTGAACGCAAGGAAACTAAGTAAACCAGCCACTCAGGGTATTTCTCGGTCGAGCACTCTCGCTTGGAAAGCAAGCATTCAGTTTAGACTCAGCAAATAGAGTAATTCGAAATTGTACAAAATAAAAATGACACGTCGTCAGGTTGCCAAATATAGCAGGCTAACACTCGCCATTTTTCTAGTCTTTTGCATCTTTATACTGGCGACTCGTGACGAGAAATTTCCAACTGCGCTCGACGGCACCTCGTCTATAGAGCGAACAACTTTGAGGCCTGCGATTTTCAAAAAAGATTTCTGTGTCTTTGATCACAAATGCAAAATACCGCGGCTGAATCCCTTTGCTGACGAGGTCATTGGCATTTTTAAGCCGCCCAAGTTCAAGGAGTGCACGGATCAGCGGGACATCATTAACGTTGTCTATGATGTGACGAAGAGGCAATACCTGTTGCACGTCAACGCGACTCTAGTCGGCATTCTATATCGAAACATTACTGCATTTGCCTGCATTTACTATGAGATAGTGCGCGGAGCGAATGATTCCATAACCTGGTGGGTTTGCATTAATCGGAGCGCCGCAATAATGTTACGAAAACCCCATTCGCTTTCAGGAAAGTGGGACCCGTCCCGTTTGAACAGAACTGGTTCATACCACACCACATTAATGGCATCGTCGTGGAATGCTATGTGGCGGGTAACAGATCCCGAGTCCTGCAACGCGATGCCTTCTCGTTTGTCCAGTATCCGAGTGGTCGCAATGAGCAGGTCGATGAGGCACGCAGTCGTATCAATCCTTCTGTGATTATGTTGGGCATTGACTCCATGTCGCAGATGAACTTCCAGCGCACAATGCCACTGACAGCGCGGTTTGTTCGCCAGCTGGGCTGGTACGAGATGCTCGGCTATAATAAGATCGGGGACAATACGTTACCCAATATTATGCCTCTGTTGACGGGTCTTACGTCGCACCAGTGGCGTTCCCAGTGCAATGTTCGCTTGCCGGGCTGCTTCGATCAATTCACCTACCTCTGGAATCACTTTCGAAATGCTGGCTATCTGACGGCCTATGCCGAGGACACTCCCTCCATAGACACATTCCACTATTTCACGTTCGGCTTCATTCGCAAACCGGTCGATTACTACCTACGTCCTTTTCTATATATGATCCAGCACATATTGAAAACGGTTAAGCTTTTTGGCTACGATTACTGTCTGGGCCGCAGACAGAGTTATCGCTACGTCTTCGACTATTGCCTTCAGCTGGTGCAGCGTTTTGTTCAGGACACGCCGAAGCCGATCTTCGGCATATTTTGGTCGAACAGCTTCAGCCATGACGACTTCAGTGGGCCGGCAAGCGTGGATAGGGACTTCGTGAGCTACCTGGAACGGTACAAGGAGCACGGCTTATTCGACAGGGCAGTTGTTGTCTTGTTCAGTGATCATGGCCAACGCCAGGGACCGTTGATGAACTTGGCTTCCAGCTTTCTGGAGGAGCGATTGCCCATGCTGCACATTTACTTACCGCCCTGGTATCGGAAGCAGTATCCAGAGTTTGCGCAAGCGCTTGACGTGAATCGTTATCGACTGAGCTCCACTTTGGACTTACATTTGACTTTGAAACACCTGCTCGTGCAGGGGCAGGCTGGCTTGAAACTGAATTCATCTGTCTCGAAGTGCCAATCGTTACTTGAGCCGTTGCCCGAGAATCGCAGTTGCGAGGATGCGGCCATACCCGAGCACTGGTGCACCTGTGACTCGTATGTGCAGGTGCCCATCAGCAATTTATTGCTTTACTGGGCACGAACAGTGGTCTATCGCATTAACAAATATCTGGCCAGCCACGATTATGCTGCGAAATGTGCTCACTTAAAGCTTGCCAAATTGCTGAGAGCCGAGCGCAAACAGTTCTTTGATGACGACGGCGCTGCTGCGGTGCCGCCTCAGAGAATTGAGACTTATCGCATTAAGTTCGTCACTCGACCGAACGGCGGCCTGTTCCGTGCAACATTTTTGGCCGATGCGGAAAGAAATGTTAAGGTACAGGAAGAATTCATAACGCGCTTGAACTCGTATCGCAATCAATCGTTTTGCGTCTCTGGACACGTGGCCCAGAAGTTTTGCGCTTGCCTCGAGGCGAACCAATCGTTTACGGTGATTAACATAGATGTTAACGACCAAGGAACTCCCTGTTAAATAAAATCGGAATATTAAATATTTAATAAATACAATTGTTTTTCAATGTATCAACCAGGAGAGTTCTGTTGACATTCAGCCAAGAAATATGAAGTTTTGTGGGGACTGAGCCGTTGCGACTACTGGCAACTGGAGCGAATGGAAGTGCCTGATTGGTTTGTAAAGGTGAAGTCAGTATTAATGACAGTCAAATGTTGTAGAAAGACAACCCCATGGATAGTTTTACAATTGATTAATGCTGGAGGATAAAGAACAAAGCAAGCGAAGGAGTTGTGTAAAGTAAAAAGAAGAAGCTGCTTCTGGGCCGATTCAATTTGAACCTGGAGATTGAAAACAGGAAATGAATAAGCACAATAAGAATAAAGAATAAGAAATAGAATAATAAGATTGTCTGATTGGCGTAAAAATATGGAGTCAGTATTACTCTCTCACTCAAATGATGTAGAACGACAATCCCAAGGATTTTTCAGCAACTGATTAACAATGGAAGATCAAGGAGAAGAATTCTACTAGAGTAAAAAGGTAATAGAAGCGTTCAAAATTAAGAAGCTGCTGCTGGAGTGACTTGTTGCAATCTATGTTATGTAGATCACATAAATAACACCCACAAATAGAGCCCCACAAGTAGAGGCAATATCTCAAAACAGATCTGTTTGCTTTCTTCAAGACTCCAAACAAGCTCTTATCATTGTCAGTTCTAAAAGATGGGAACTACCCATAAGCATATGCCCAAATAAATTTGTAGATAGAATCAGAGAACGCTAGGTAAACAATGTTTAGTGTTGAACCTGTCTCAACATTAGTTTAAGCAATTCTCATACTTAAGGCTTACAGCTCTTTAAAAATTTTGTTTTGAGGCTATGCCAAGGCTTAAAAAGATGATACTAGTACGCAAATATGTTTTCATTTTCTTTGGACTGTTATTGGTATTCATTTGGCTAAATCATAGAAACAAGAGCAATGAACGGGAAATCAAGTTCGAGCAGTTTCCAGCCGTAACAGAGGAGACAGTGTCGGACTCGTCGCCGGCCGATGCAGTGGCAAGGGAGAAGCACCTGCGTGAAATGATTCGTACTAACAAAATAGTAGGTCGCTTTGCCCGAGTGCAAGAAACAGGCAAACCGCGAATAGGAAAACTTAAATTTTCCGATTCAGATAATGAGCTGGCTGACGCCGTGGCGAAGCCAGTGCGTTATTTTGTAAATAATAAGAAATGCAAGATGCCCTTCGCCGATCCCTTTTCGCGCGAGGCAACGGAGATCTTCAAGCCGTCCCAGCCAAAAGCCTGCTCCAATGCGAGCGACGTGTTTCAACTGCAATACGATGCGCAGGCGAAACACTACAAGCTAATTGTAAATCAAGAAGTCTTGTCGAAATTGAATCCAGTCGTGTCCAGTATCGACTGCAACTATCGTGAAGTAACTCAGGGCACAGACGAAAAGTCCGAGCATAACAGCAAGTAGGCCGAGCCGATTCTCGCACTTATCTTCCATCCTAATCCATTCGCCTCCTTTAGCGTTAGTCCGCCAGTTAACTTCAGGCTGCAATGTGCCTTGCCGCCAAATATCAAAAGCATTATTGTGGAATGCCATGATGCAGTTAACAGCGCGCGGATCTTGCAGCGGGATGCGTTCACCTTGATCCAAGTGAACGATACGAGCAGCCGGATTGAGCCCCAGCCGCTGGAACGGCAGCCGAGCGTTGTAATCCTCGGCTTGCACAGCATGTCGCGTATGAACTTTCAGCGAACAATGCCAAAGACAGCGGCATTCGTCACTCGAGTGGGCTGGTTCGAGATGCAAGGCTATAACAAGATAGCTGACGAGATTGCACCAAATTTGATGGCCATTTTGTCGGGTGAATCGGACAAGCGTTGTGGACCAGGCTCTGCTGGCTGTACGTGGATCTGGAAGGACTACAAACGCGCTGGCTATGCCACAGCCATTGCTGAAGACAATGCAGGCGATGCTGCCTTCTTGCAGAATACGCTTGGACTCGCAGACGTTGCGGTCGACCATGATCTGCGACCGCTGCTGCTGGGCATTGGGCGAGCATTGAGCTCATACGAAAAGATTGGAAACAGCTACTGCATTGGCCGTCGGCTGGCTGTCTCGTATGTCTACGACTTCTGTGCTCAGTTTACGGCGCGCTTTGTGCAGGAACTGCAGCGTCCGATGTTTGGCTTCTTTTGGAGCGGCACGATGACCAATGACTCGAACTTTGGCGCCTCTGGCTTGGATGCAATATTCGTCGATTACATGCATAAGCTCGAGCAGCAGCAGCTCTTCGAGAAGTCTATTGTTGTGCTAGTGAGCGATCATGGTGCACGGACTGGCGAGCTTATGGAATTGCCGGATGGTTTCCTTGAGGAGCGCTTGCCCTTGCTGCACATCTACCTGCCGCCTTGGTTCCGCAGCGCCTATCCAAATTACGCTCAGGCTTTGGCCCTGAACCACGATCGCTTGTGCTCCAACTTCGATCTGTATAATACGCTGAGGCACATTCTCCAGCTGAATGCCAAGACTCCAGCGATGCTGCCCGCGCGGACAGCGTGTCCAAGCAGCCAATCGCTGCTGCATCCGCTGCCAATGGATCGCAGCTGTGAGGATGCTTGCATCGGCGAGCATTGGTGTACGTGCAACAAGTTTGTCAAACAGAGCCTGAGTGGCGAAATGTATGTGCTTGGCAAGCATGTCGTGTACTATATTAATCGCTGGATGCTTGTGCATCACTTCAATGCCGTGTGCCAGCGTCTGGGGCTGCAGGATATGGACCTGGCGGAGAGGAAGCTGCTGCATGAGGAAAATGCCAAGGAGCCGATGTATGGCTCGATTGTCATCTATCGTTTGCGCTTCCGCACCTATCCGGATGTTGGAAAATTCCAGGCAACAATTCGCTACAATCGCGAGCTGCAGATCATTGAGGACTTACACGTACCAGATATTAGTCGTTTGAATAGCTATAAAAATAACTCAAGGTGTGTTAGTGATAAGATTGCTCAGAAGTTTTGTTTCTGCTATCCCAAGGCCAAGCTCAGTGGGCCTATGGAGGATTGGCAAGTAGTAAAATTAACGACCGTATCAACGTTTTAGCTCCACGTGAAGAGCAGTGGAGATTGATAACTTTGAGTTTCGAAAAATTTAATGTCATATTTTTGTGTTGTAAATTAAAACGATTGGATATGTATCGAACTTTTTAATCGATAATTTCTTGATTGTTATCGAGGTTATACAACACTTTTTGTGTGACTTTTGAAGCTGTATTCATGAGGCTGAAATAGTTTTCATTGAGCGTAGTCTAGTCGCAGTGAACGGAACTCCATTTGCTTAGCAGTTTATCAAAAAGTTATAAAATGGGGAAGAAGGGAAAATTCGTTTCTAAAAATCATAAACAAAAGGGTGGTAAAAATAAAAACAATTTAAACTCAAGGCGTTCGTGCGACAGAAGCTTTTTCGAGCTCAACTCAGTTAATACCAGCGACGAAGAAGAACAAGAAGAGCTGAGTTCGATCAAGATAAATCTGACCGTTAATGTTACCAATGATGAATCAGATGCGAAGGCGAACGAACTGAAGCGAACTCGATCAACTCAAACCCAGGATAGAGTGCTCGAAATCAAGAAGCCGAAGCTAGAGACTGACAATAAAATGTCAACAAAGTCAACAGAAATGCACAGGGGTTTCGACACTCCAAGGAAATCAAGTAAAACTAGTAATTCCGAGTACAAGACGACGGACGCATCGGAGGCTCAAGAAACACAAGCCGCAGCGCAGGAAAAAAGGGATTCGTATCAAAGCTATCGCTATACTGCATTGCGATCACGAATGACCTTTGATTCCGGCAACAGAGGCAGCGAAGGTTCCGTCTATAAGCCAACAAGGAAAAGTTCCACGGAAATGCTGAAGGGCCACAATAAAAGCTATGAGCCCAGGCCAAAGGCGACGCCACTGTCCAGCCATCTCATCTTCAAGTACGATAAACAATACGAGAATATTAAGATGGTAAATGAAGCCAAGCCGAGCCAGCCAGTGCCACGCCCCAAAGCCGCTGCACCCGAGCAATTTCTCGATGGAAGCGGCAACTGGCGTTGCGCGGCACTTTAAGGGATCGAATTGTTAAAATTGAAATGCAAATAAAAAGTTTTAAGCAAAATAGGAAAATTCCCGAAAAAAATTTAAAGAAAATTGCTAAATAAATGAATTGAATTGTTTAAGATAATATTTTTAATATATTATTAATTTAACCCACATCAGCCAAGGGCGTATTGGGTGTTTTTTTAGAGCTGCACAAATTGAAATCATTTTAAAAGAAATATGTATATTTTTATAAGCTGTGAAAATGGCTTTGTTGAACAGAAAATGTTTAAATATGAGCCACAATCTGAAACAAAAATTTTCACAAACATCACAAGCATCAAAATCGAGGCTTTCATTGATTTTACAGACATATGGACCCATGACTGTAATAGAGTTTCGACAAAAGCTTGTGGTTCCTGCTGGCTGAACAATTCTGCTTATTTACGTAGCCATTGAAAAATGTTTTAGAAAAAAAGCAATACAAGTTTGACAAACAACTATTTTTCTGATGAATAGTTTCAACAATTTGCAATTTGCTCTGGCGTAAATTTATCTATAATAAAATGTCAAGTCAAACTCAACAAGAAGCAACTCACAGCTGTAAAATAGGTTGTCAGTTGAAGTATACTGCTTCAATTCAAAGTCCTGAAATTCTAAAAGAACATCCTTTATACCCATATATGAAATATTGCAGCTGTCTTCTATCAGACATAGCCCAGTCACATTTTAAATATGTTTCAGAGTTTGGTTTTCCAGCTTTTTATTAAAGTGTTATTTCAAACTAAATTAAATTTTGTTTTTTTTTTGCATTCACTATAATTGGGGGCTTGCTATATATGTTAGGCTACCTTCAATTTTATTGAGGCCCTCAATGAAGGCATTTTTAAAAGCTATTTTCGTGTGACATCACTGTGCTTAACTACTAAACTTAATTGTCTATTTGAAATCAATGAGAATCAATTGGCCCACAATTGTTTTTTGCTTTGCTGTTTAGCCGTTATTTACGTAGTTTATCAAAAAATTGTCAGCTAAGTGACGTAATGCTATAAAATTCATATTCATATTCATATCATCAACAAGACAACTTTAACAATAATATAGACGCTTAGAGGCTATACGAGAATTTCGTTTATAAAAACTAGAAAACTTTGTCGTAGATCGATATGTTTATGCTATATTCTACATGTACGAGTCGACCGGATAGCGTTCGGCCTCCTCGAGCATATGTCGAAAGTCGACGGGCTGAGCGAGCGGTGCGACAGGTCCTGTCCCGGGTCGTCCAGCCACGTGGCCATTCATCATTTGATTGGGCCGCTTAGCACTCAACTGGGCGCTGCCACGACTCTTGATATGGCCATTCATCATGCTCACATGGTGGCTAATCGTGGGCACCGCACCGGGCACGTTCGTCTCCAGATCATGCAGTATGGCATCCGTTTGCTCGTTGCGCATCACATGATTGCCCAGCGTTTCGCTGGCATCTTCGCCCTCCAACTTGTTGGTCAACTGTTGTATGTGATTGCGTATAAGGCGCTCGAACTCCCGCTGCACAGACGGGCTGTCCGTGTCTCCGTCGACCTATAAATATAGAAGTTTTTATAAGTTGACTGAGAGGGAGAGAGAAATGAACTCACTATCTGCAGTCGATTGCTGCTGTCCATTATCTTCAGCATAGGCAGCGTCTGCTCACGAAATATCTCCAGGCGACGCCGAAACGAGGAGACGGTATCGTCTATGCGTCCGCGTCCCAACTGCAATTTAGAGCAGTCCAATAGTATGGTGGGTGGACGTTGCTTGTACTGAAATTTGAAAGGAAAATTATATTACAAAAAAGTTCTTTGAGCTGTCAACGAGCTGATCTTTCAGCAAGTTAAATAGTATATATTAGCATAGCATAAGAATTTTTAGTAGATATGAAGTAATCTGATAAATTAAATAAAATTATATAAATAAATAAAATATTACATGCAATCTGAGACGACTTTAGGAATCTATTCTTATACATATTTTTTAAATAAATATTATTTTATTGTTATTATATTATTTTATTATTATATTTATTATTTTATTATTATATTTTATTATTATTATTATTAATATTTATATATTGTCTAAAAATCTTAGATTTGTGTAGGCAAATAGTTAGGCAACAAGTCTTAGAGCCCAATATAAACTTTATATGGCATTCATTCTTAAATATTTCTGTAACAGAAAAACCATTTTGAGCTTCTGATACACATTGAAACAAACATGTAGTTAATGTTCCAGTCAACTTTAACAGTGACTTAAAAATACTGTTGCAATTGTCTTTAACAATTTTCATTCTCAATTTATTAGTTAAGTATTTAGTCTGAAGTTGCCAAAGCTTCTTGAACACAGCTCTAATATCTTTCTCCATAAAAGCTTGAAAGCTTAACATGCAGATAGATATTTGATGAAAGGATAAATGAACCTATTTCAGAAACTGCATAATATAGAGCTTAATCTGAAGTTAAATGATTGCTAAAGTCAGAATAGACACATGTCATAAGCATATATCTATATACATATAATTGAATTAAATAAACTAAATATCATCATAAATAAAAAAATAATAAATATCAAAAATCTTTTCAATTCAAATTCTTGAAAATAACTAGAGATTTTAAAAATGAACATGCATTAAGATTAAAATTAACATGATTTTAATGTTCATGGGAACTGTAACAGTAACTGTTGCTATTAGCAGTTACTTTTGTCAGATATAGTCAGCATCTATATGACGTATATCTTCAAATGAACTCAAAATTCATTTAAATTGCACAAAAAAGTTGTACAAATAATAACAATAGGGTTAATGTTCATGTCAACTTTAACATGAACCTTAAATCTCTCTCTCTCTCTCTCTCTAAAACTGCCACAGCTAAAGTTTTCATATGGAGAAGCCTCTCTCTCCCCCCTTGAACTCACCTTGTTTTCAAAGTATTTGACCTGCTGCAGATTGCGGGGATAACCATCGATGATGATGCCGGTTTTATCGCGCAGTTGACGTATATTGTTGTCCAGCAATTGATTGAGCGATTTCTCCGGCGCCATTTCTCCTGCGGCCAGAGCCTCTTTGACGGCATAGCTTTCGGTGTTGGCACGTGGCGCAGTGTCCGTGATATTTCGCAGCAGACGCCCAACGCTGTTGCGATAAGTTGAGAATTAGTTGTAAAACATATGCCTAGCTATAGATTCACCTGATGTGCGACCAGCCGGGGTTGAGGCCAACGGCCTTCAGGCATAGCGTTGCCTTATTGCTGCCCGGGCCGCCAATGACCCAAATGATGGGCGGTATTGTGGGCTCCAGTTCGGATGCGTTAGTGTCCATGCTGGTGCCGGCATGGTTAAGCTTGGGCTGCTGTGTAACAACGACGCCGCTGTCATCGTCTGCACTGATGCCGCCGCCGCCTGCTGTACGGAGCGTCGCTGCGGCTGTGACCGCATTGGCGGCTATGTGAGATATCACAGCGTTTGTGACATTGCGTTCACCTGGCCCAGTCGCAGGTGCGACGACTTGGTCTGTAATGTGAGGCGCTTGGGCTTGACTAGGTGCGGTGTCTACGCTAACTATACTGCCGGGTATATCATGTATCCCTCTGCCCATACCTGTAACTCCATTCAGTATGGCCTCTTGATTCTCGAGCGAACTCAATATGTCTAGCACAGCGGTGCGAAAGTCTTTGTACACCTCTGTGGGTGCACGCTCGCCATTTACCTGTGAGTATTAGAATAGAAAGTGAAATAAATAACGGTATTTCTATGGCATTTCAGTTGCATTACTCACGGCCAATAGCATATCGCTCTGATCAAAGTAATCAGCGACTGGCATCACATTTTTAAAGAAATTTTCCAATTCCATTTTGGCTAAGGAGAGTACAACATGACCTAATTTAGCGCCATAATCGATTTGTTTCTGTAGCACCGACTGACGCCAGGATATTAAGATAACACCATTAACGACTTGTATCTGAAAAGTATAAATAGGTATTGACCAAATATTAAATCTCTTCGTGGTCTATAAAAAGCCATTAATACGATTTAATGAGCGCCTAACTAAATTATGGTAAAACTTAATGGCATTACGGAGCTTAA